GGTACAGCCCTGTACTACACCTGTCAGAAGATTCTTGCTTTTACTATAAAGGGCTTTGAGACCCTTAGAAGAAGCAAGTTAGAGCTCCCTGTGCTCAGCTGATTACGTACAGCTCAGCATAGACACCAGGAGATGCAGGGTAAGTCTACCCCTTAGCCACCTATGAAGATAAAGTTTTAGGTCATGAACTGCAGGACTTGAGGACACACTGGCTACTCTGCTCTTCGTACCACGAACTGGCAGAAAGGCAGCTGAGGCAGAATTAATTTGCTTTAGCATGAATGACCAAAGAACATCTGGAACTGGGTTAAGATGTGCTTCCCCTTCACTGATCTGCAGGGTTATTGCTTTGTAAATGTTTTTGTTGCATATAGTCACCCCAAAATGCTACTCTCCTCTTCTAGCACCAAGCTGACTACACAAATCTCCTTTCCTTGTTCAGAGACACTCCTTAGAAAATGGCTAACAAACCTGCTTCACAGCTCTTGGGAGCTTTAAAAGGAGTATGAGGTTATAACCCCAGCTAATCTAAGAAAGAGAGCACCTTCAGCTTTTGAAATAAACAGATACGGTATTTCATAAAAAACGTCTCAGGGAATTAAAATTTCTGAAGGGAAGAAGCCTTATTGGAAATGGTCTTTCTCCCTCACAAAACACCGCTTTTCAGAAATTACGCCCAGTGCCACACATTTTTATTGCTTTTAAACAGAACTTAAAAGGTAGAGGTAGCATATGGAATTAAAAATCACAATTTGTCTTCTGGATTATGAATTATTACAAACCCTTCCAGAAGTTTACTAAACAGGCTCCACTCATCCTACAAGGTTCTCATCAGAAGTCCTTGAAAAGGGAAGGTGGAAGGGCTTGTAAGTGCCTCAGTTGAATTGAACTGTGTGTTCATTTTTAATCTTGGGATTCACTTGTCCAAGGTGACAGAATGTCAGCTCTAGTGTATTTAAAAATATATTCTCCTTATGAGACAAAGCAGTGAGTGGTATAAACTGTGCCAAGTTTCAATTTTTTCATATCATGCTTGCTAAATACAAAGAGTAAGTTTTCTTTTGCTGTTGACGATGCCGCAGTTTCAGAATTCCAGACGATGAAACCCAGATACCCTCCTCTAACATCGAAACAGAGGTACTTCCAAATTACTCCTGTCACTGGAACTGCCAATGCAAATTCTTGTCCATTCAGTATTTCCATATTCTTTGAGGTATCTTATCCTCTCGGAATTGACAACTATTTCTACCACACATGAATATTTTAGTTTTTGGAAGAGACTTGTAGTTTTTCCAATTGCAGCTGTTCAAAAATACCACTTATACTACTAAAGACACAGTTAATACCAGAATAATCAAAAGGTTTTATCCTTTGCGTTAGCTTTTTACACTTTGATCTTCTATTGGGAGCATAAACACCAGAAACACTGACACAACTTTGGTGTCTGTGTGGCTGCTTCCCTCAGGTCTCAGTCCTCTCTATGGTGCAGCCGGGCCCAATGAACCTCGACAGTCCCAGCAGGACGAACTCCGTCCAGCAGGTGCCCCGAGAGAGAGGCACTTCGGAGCTCTCCAAGCTGTGCTGCCGCAGCCATCTCCAGTCGAGGAGCGGTGGCCCAGTGTGGACAGCCATCCACCCCAGGGGCCAGGGGGCCAATGCACCTGCCTAGCCCCTCTCTCCAGTGTAGGTTCAGCCCTGGTTTGGGCTCCTTTGTCCTCATCTTAAATACGGCATTCACAGAGGTGCTGATCGGCTCAGTCTCGATCTGAGGGGATGGGGGGTCTGACCTGGGCAGAGACCAGTGTTCAACTGGTTGTGGAGCTGGGGAAGCCTTTTGCAGCCACTTAACACGGGCCACTTCCACAACTCTTCCCCTACTACCAAAACTCCATCACATAAGCGCACTTCTATTCTTTTACGTTTCAGGAGACTGCCAAAAACAGTTTGTTACTTAATTTCTGCTGTTTCCTTATACAATGCTGCTACATCCACGCATCAATAGGAGACTGAGAAATGGAAGCATTAGAACTTTGCAGCCATAGCCTACTAACACAGGCTGAGACCTTAAAACATCACGCATGTGAGAAGGTATCAGTGTATCTGGCAAGAAAGATCTCTAACTTTAAAACTAATTATTTAGGTTTGAGCTCCAAAATTTTTGTTCTTAAGTTTCTGAGTCTGTAGAATGTGTCTCAGCCTTCTCTGAATAATGCCAGTGATGAGATAATCTCTAATCCTTTTCACAATCTCAAACAGAACGAAACTGAAATGGGTAAGCCTGTGGGTTCTACAAGCTTTCTTAATTTCTAAGATGCTGGAGAGTGATGTCTATCCCACTCATGTCTGAAGTATAAGAAGTGTTTGCTATCTATTGTTCATCAAGCTGAACCATAAGTAAGTGGAAATCGTATTTTTAGTTACTATCACTAAGAGCAGCAGTAGCTCTCAACTGTATTCCGGGTTTGTATATGTGTGGGACAGTATGTTCAGACAGTATCTGTACCCCGCTTGAAGCCAGTCTGCTTACAGCTAGCAGTATCTGTATCAGAGGTGAACACATTCTGGGGTATTTTTGGGTTCGCTTTTCCCCCCCCCCACAAAGACAAAAGAAAAATAGAAAAGTAGGTTTTTATAAAACATTTGGAAGGAGATCAACCCATTTCTACCCGCATAAAGCTTCTGGTGTAAGTAGTGATGCTTGAAAACATTTGGAAGTATCTCTCTCAAAATAGAATTTAAATCTTCATACCTCCTATATCAGAATAAAGAATTTTTTCCCAAAATCTAAACCGCAAACACTAATTCATACTAAAATGCCTCAAATTATTAGTGTAACTGTATATTTCATTGAGGAGATTGCAACAGCATGATGGGACTTTTTTCTAATTGTTCAATAGCTGTATTTGGAAGAAACTGAAATACTGGAGTGCTCTTCACCCTTGTATGGCCTCTTTTTATGAGGTAAAAATGGCTGGGAGGTGATGGAGGTGGCATGATGCATTGATATGAAATCTCAGTAGAAACAGCTAAACTGAGTTCCAGGGTGTAAATTGCTCTTAACTGACAGCCATCTAACAGGAGCTTACAAGTATAATAAAGACACGGGAATGTGTCCTCACGACATACTAATTTATGTTTTCTTGCTCAGACTAGGCATAATACAACTCTGGAGAAAGGATATCAAAGTCATCGCTTCATTGAAAGATTATTTCAAAATGATTCAGTAGGGAGCTTTGCCCCTTTCTTTCAATGAGTCATTCCTTCAACCCCAACTATCTTCATTATTTTAAAATTCCACTCTTTACTCATATGAATCATCATATCTTTGACAATCTCAGAGAAACATCTTCAATTTCTTTCTTTCCCTCTCCTCTTCCAAAACAGTAACACATTCAAAGCTGCCATCTACCTTATTACCTCTTGTATCCACTCTAGAATATCTTCTGCCCTGTCCAGGTGACAGAGGAATAGCTGTTCCTGAAGTAGTGAAAGTTTTTTTCTTGTTAGATTTCAACTTACACATTTTCATTTCCCTGACATCAGTGCTTGCTTGTCTAGCATGTTACACCTGATTGACTTCTCTTTTCTTAAGAGTCCAAGAGTTTCCTTCCCCAAGTCTACGTAAGCCTGTGTTTCATTTTCCACTCACGTTCTTTGATCCAGAAGTACAAATCACAGTGCCTCTTTCTGAACCACCAAGAGCTACAGCTTCTACCCAGTTCCACCACAGTAACCTCAATCACTATCAAAACGGTATATACCACTGGAAGGTTAACCTATTTATTACTCCTGGAAATACACATTTCTGTGCGTGAAAGAAATGCCTTCATGATTGATTTAATGACCTAGACAACATTACAGTTGGTTTATGCTTTTAAAGACTTTAACCCCCTTCATACATGAGAGAAGTCTCTACTTAAATGACTTCATTTCTTGAGAAAAAATACAATACAAGGCGTGAAGTTCACAGCAAATTTAAAAGTTATGTGAGCAGGAGTTTTCATTTCTCTGAGAAGAATCATAGAATCATAGAATGGTTTGGGTTGGAAGGGACCTTAAAGATCATCTAGTTCCAACCCCCCGGCCATGGGCAAGGAAACCCTTCACTACACCAGGTTGCCCAAAGCCTCATCCAACCTGGTCTTCAACACTTGCAGGGATGGGGCATCTACAACTTCTCTGGGCAACTGTTCCACTGCCTCACCACCCTCTGGGTGAAAAATTTCTTCCTTAGATCTAATCTAAACCTCCCCTCTTTCCGTTCAGCCATTGCCCTTTGTCTTATCACTACACTACATGCCCTTGTAAAAAGTCCCTCTCCAGCTTTCCTGTAGGCCCGCTTTAAGTACTGGAAGGCTGCAATAAGAGCACCCCGGAGCCTTCTCTTCTCCAGGCTGAACAGCCCCAACTCTCTCAGCCTGTCTTCACAGGAGAGGAGCTCCAGCCCTCGGATCATCTTCGTAGCCCTCCTCTGGACCTGCTCCAGCAGCTCCATGTCCTTCTTGTGTTGGGGACTCCAGAGCTGAACACAGCATGCCAGGTGGGGTCTCACGAGAGCTGAGTAGAGGGGCAGAATCCCCTCCCTTGACCTGCTGGCCACACTCCTTTGGATGCAGCCCAGGATACGGTTGGCTTTGTGGGCTGCCAGCGCACACTGCCGGCTCATGGTGAGCTTCTCATTGACCAGCACTCCCAAGTCCTTTTCCTCAGGGCTGCTCTCAATCCGTTCTCCGCCCAGCCTGGACTTGTGCTTGGGATTGCCCCAACCCACGTGCAGGACCTTGCACTTGGCCTTGTTGAACTTCTTGAGGTTCTCACAGGCCCACCTCTCAAGGTCCCTCTGGATGGCATCCCTTCCCTCCAGCATGTCCATCACACCACACAGCTTGGTGTCATCAGCACACTCACTGAGGGTGCACTCGATCCCACTGTCCATGTCACCAACAAAGATGTTAAACAGCACTGGCCCCAGTACTGACCCGCCAGGAACACCACTCGTCACTGGCCACAAAAATAAAAACCTTTCTAGGTATACAAATAGCATTAAAATAAAGTCACACACCTTGAATAACAAAATAAATGTCTGGTCGCAAATAACAATAGAAGATGAGTTGAATCAAACTTACATCAGTAGCTGCTGTCAGGATTTTAGAAAGGATGACTCTTGCTAACCCATCTCTGCTGTAATCCAAACTAGAAACGGTCAATTTTAACAAGTGGTCCTGGTTCTTCAAAGAACAAAGATTAAGAAGACTGGTGGGAGAGAGAAAATAAAAATTAGTATCTGAATCCACTCAAAACCATTTATTTATTCAATTAATCATTAAAAGTTAAGTTCTTTGAATCAGACTTTCATTTTTATAAATGCAGCATACAAAGTAATTTGTCATACGAAATAGAATAAGTTTAAACCGTTACAGCTATTAGAGTCAAATGGGGAACAAATAATACACTGAACTGTTAAGGGGAAAAACTCCAAATCAACATTTTTTATAATTGCTCTGTAGTAATTTTGTCAGCATATTTTAACCAGTGACAAGTACAAAAATTAATGTTCATGAAGCTCTGTGAACAACTCCTCACTGGAAAACATTCTGTGCGTAAAGTGTGCCATAAAGTTAGTTCTATTAACTGTCTAGATTTTATTGTAGACTAAGTTTTCTGAAGCTAGTAAAAAACTTGCATTCTGATAATCAATGAAAACAACTTAATTAAAAAAAAACAGTAGATCAAAACACTTGAATTTTCCCTTAAAGTTTACTATATTTAAAATAAACTGTTATTAGCCATTAGCAAATCCACCTCCCCAAAAAGGTAACTTTATTTATGCCTGAACAAAATTTTGAACTTCACAGCTTCACTCGAATACACTGGCCTGAAGTTTAAGTACAACTTGCGTCATCACATTTCACAGACAGTATGATATGTGCCAGTTTTTGGTGGTTTGTGTGGTGGGTTTTTTTTTGTTTTTCTCTTTTTTCTTCTGTCTTTTCAGTACAGTATCATCCTTCCTGATACCAATTTGTGTCACATTGGTGTGGACAGGAGAAAGTAAGCTATTTTGTGACACAATCACCCACATCTGGGGGTTGGACTAGATGACCTTTGAAGGTCCCTTCCAGCCCTAACCATTCTATGATTCTATGATCTGTTCAGTACCAATAGACTAAAAGACTCTTTCTTAACCACTGAAAACCTCTACAGTGAGGATCTTTACTTGTAAGTCAATCAAAATAACTTTAAAGTTTTCAGCTTTATGGACAGTGGTCCTCATGCACAGTTTACAATTTGCATAACTATTATACCCATAAGCACAATTCCAACAGAATAAAAACACTTACCACTGAAACAGATTACATTTTTCAAGCATTTTCACTCCATGAGGGTGACAAGAGAGAGTACCAAAAAACAGAAAGTAGTGCTGGCTAAGGGTATTCAGTAACCCATTATTTTGAAGACTACGTTCTGGTTTCATTCCTGATGAAGAGTTGAGCCAATGCACAATATCTTTAACCAATTCCTCCAGATAACCTTGTCCGTCCTAACAAAAACAAACAGTAATAGCATTTACTAGTAACAGAACTGGGTCTCCCTTCTTTACTGAAATCAGTAATTTTAAATTTCTTAAAATGTACAAACACAATACAGACACAAAATAGAAATGCTGGCTTGCAAACACACTTCAGACCAAAGAAAAAGGTTCAAGGCAAACAAAAGGAGTTTAGCTTGGAGAGATCTTAGGACCAATTCTATTCTTTCCAGGAAAAGGATTGTTCAATGACATTTTCCTCTGGCAGCGGCACAGAAGTCTTCAGCACATCAGAAGAAAGGAGGTAGAGAAAGGAAGGATATACATAGCAAAAATTTAAAAAAACAACTCCAAATGCTAAGTTGCACTCAAAGCTGTATTTAATAAAACTACTACTTAAACATTGTCACCTTCCTCAATTTCTCATCTGGATAATTCAAGATTTTATTTCTTAATTACACTGACCATTTTAGATTCAACACCTGAAGTCTACAGAAGGCCTACTATAACATGGTTTTTCCACTAAGTGGCATACAGCAGGAGTACTCATTCTACCTCCAGTCTTACCTCTTCTGATTCAAGAAGAAATTCAGTAAATTGACAACCCACCACAGTGAGCTGCTTAGCCTTGGCATAGTCCAGATCCAGGTTGGCATACAGTTTACTGCTAGGCTTGTAAAAATACAGCAATCTCCTTACAAACCTATGGAAAGCAAAAAAGTATTTGTCATTTTTCAATATGACAAGGACAGTCTCATAGTACAAAGTGATGCTGGTAGAAAAGATACATTATCACTAAATTACCTTATTGGCAATAAATTTTCAGAAGTTTAAGTCTTTTTTTAAAAGAGTAGCAGGTAGCAGTAATGAATCTATCCAGACACAATTTCAGAGATGCAGCTGTACTGTGTGTTATGAAGGGTTTTCTATGCCATGACATTTTTTAAAATAAGCAAAGGAACTCAACATCTCTACGCTCTTAGAAGCCATAGCTTCCTTTTCATGTTTATAACTTATTCTGCTGTAATTTATCCTGTGGTGAGTTTCAAAGACTACACTGTTGAGACTTACAAAGATCTCAAAAAGAATCTGTGACATAAGCTTTCCTCAGCTGTAACAGTTAACGCTACTGTGAAAAATACATTTTTGTGTTTTACCAGGAAAAGACCATATTTATTCAGCAACAGTATTTTCTTTCACCTCTTCTATTTCTGAAGCATAACACAATGATTGTGAATGCACTCTCACTCAGGCTGTTTGAAATTATTATGAGCAACACAGCTGGAGTTTTGCATTGCTGCAATTGCAGGAATCAGTCTTCAGCAAAGAGCTTCCCCTCGCTAATTCTGTGTCAAAAAATAAACACATTTGTGCTTTAAAATAACACAGAATATTCTGTCTGAAGGTAGATATGCCAACCATTGAGAAAACTTAACTAAGGCACTGTGCCTTTAGTTAAAAAAGTAAGAGTAAGCCACTATCCCCAACCCCAAACACAGCACCAATTATAAAGGAAATCGGAGGGCTTCTTTAAATTTTGTCAAATGAAATGTATTTTATTCTGGGTTATTAGCAATGAATATATTATATATTTGTATCTGGGTGTATATATGTGTATACTTAAGTATGTATATATGTATGCGTATTGCACTAGCTGTATCTCTATCAAATGAAGGAATCTATAAAAAATTATCTGAAATTTCACTTTAACAGCCATAACACCATCACAAGAACACTAACATTAAAAAAAAAAACCAACAAAACAAACCAATGAAACACTTATGGAAGGACAAATAAATGTACTTTACACTTCAGAAACACTGTGGCTGAAAATTTTTTATGATCAGCAGTGAAACTAAAGAGACTCAGGGCTTAATTAGTTATAATTAAATAAGAGCAACAGCATTTTAAAGCCATTACAGCATCTAACCCACAATCCTGCAGAAAGGATCAACAAAGTCAGTAAGTTTTACACTAACTAAATCCTAGACTCTCTCAATTTAGTTGGAATTAAAGTTTTAGGCACTGAACAACGCTTGAGTGCAGCACAAAACCAAGGAACAGGTACACTGTCCCAAGTAGGCAGGTAGAGGTGTGGGTGTGGGGGTCACAGCCAGGACTGCAGACGTCACTTTAGAGAAGCAATGTTACAAACCACAGGATTTGGAATATATAATCCTTTGGAATATATTCCAAAGGATTATATATCCTTTATGGATTATATTCCAAATATTTTATTATATATAACAGGAAAAAAACAAATGCAAAATTAAATTACGGCTATGATTACAACAGGACTATACTTACACTGGGAACACTATATAGAAGTAGCCAGATTACTTTTTAGTAAAAATTTAAAATGGATCAGCGTGAGCCTTTCTATGTATGTTTTAGCTTTTGTTTTTTTCCTCAAATTCATGTAGAAATAACCTTCCCTACTCTTCAAAATAATTTAATCAAAACAATTTCTGAAATTCATGTTAGAAGGGATATCCAAGAACTGCTTAGTAACATTACTATCACACTTACACAAAAGTACTGAAAAATATTTAATGCCAACAGATATGAAAGAAACTACAGCTGTACTGTTGTATTTGTTGTTTTGTTTTTTTTTCTTTCAAATCACACATGCTTCTCTTGCCATTAATAGCAACTAGAAATAACTTTCTCTTGGTTTTCAATGAAAGCTATAACTGTATAACTGTACAGTTGTAAACCTATTCTTTCAAAATTTGTCAAGCACTGTCATCAAATGGTAATGTATGAAATAGTGAAGAGGTAACACTTTAAGGTTTAAAAAGAAATAGGTTGTTTACAAAGCTGGTATGATTCTTGTAAAGAGAATAAATATAATAAGTATCTGGGCATAGAGAAGAAATGACTAAAGCTTAAAAACCTTTATTCAAAAAAAAAATTGCAACCTAATTATCTAATTTTTCGGTTTTGCTATTATCTATAGATTAAGTTTTAGAAACGTAACATATCCAAGGAATAGTTTACTGCAATACTAAAAACTATTTTTTTCAAATTTTGTTCTTCAAAGGAAGTCTACATAATTTTTACATACCTGTGTAATTGTTCATCTTTATAGTTCCTTAGATTTACATTTGGCCACTAGAAAAACAGCAAATAGAGCATTATATGAAATTTGTACATCAGTCCTCGAGTAGTTACTAAAATTTACTTATTTCTATTATAGTTATATTTACCTAATAATTACAAGTGTAAGTTTTCTTGCATCTAATGTTAGCTATAAAAAAAACCTTATTTTATTGAAAAGCCCACACTTCTTGCTCCAAGAACTGTTCGATTTTCTTCTAGAGGAGGACAGGGAATGCCAGTCACGTGCTATGTGCAAAAGGCCGCAATTCTAATACAACAACATACTATGAAAAACTAAAGAAAAATAAACAATTTTGTTCAATTTCTTCTCTGTAAATAACAAAACCATGTTGATATGCATAATAGGGATTTTTTTTTCTTGTTTTCACAATCAGATTTGTTTAAAAAATAATCATTGCTTTCTTATAGCTCACTTAAATATTGCTTATCAATGAACTCCTCTACTGATACTTTTTATGATGTTTTAAGGATCACATCAAGTCCCAATACTCTCTTCTAGACCTATCCTTTCTTCCTATTATATTTTCCTCTCTTTTTACAGTCATCTGTTGCCTCTATGGTTTCACATTTATTTTTGTTGCTACTAGTAAGAATCTTGTTGGAAGGGAAGGAAAAAATGGCATTAAACATTGTTCTTCCCTACCGCCACAATGTTGGGTTTTTCAGTAATGGGATGGCCTACACAGCACCAGGCTTCCTGGTACCAGATAGGATTCACCTTTCTCAATGGGAAAAGAAGGTCTTTGCTCATGAGCCAGTGGGACTCATCGACAGGGCTTTAAACTAGACTCAAAGTGGGAGAGGGCTAATATCTGATAATATCAGACTTGATCAAGACAATCCGAGAGCACCTGAAGAGCAGCAGAAAGGAATTCCAGACACTCCAGCCAGGAAGTCAGATGCATCGGGGGCCCAACTTAAATGCCTCTGTGCAAACACCCATAGTACAGGGAATGAACAAGAGGAGTCAGAGGTCACACACACCTGCAGGGTTATGATCTTATTGGCCTCATGGAGATCTGGTGGGATGATCTTATGACTGGAGTGCTGGAATGGAAGGACACAGGCTCTTTAGGAAGTATGGGCTGGGGAGATGAGGAAGAGGTGCTGCTCTCTATGTCAAGGACCAGCTGGAGTGCATGGAGCTGCACCTGGGGATGGATGAAGAGCTGACTAAGAGAATATGGGTCAGGATTAAACGGAGGGCAGGGCCAGGTGACAGAGTAGTGGAGGTCTGCTACAGGCCACCTGACCAGGAAAGCCCAGAGGATGAAGTCCTCTACAGACAGATAGGAGCAGCCTCATGTTCACAAGCCCTGGTCCTCATGGGGGACTTCAACCACCCCTATACCTCTTGGAGGGACAACACAGCCAGGAAGAAGCAATCCAGGAGGTTCCTGCAATGCACCGACGATAACTTCCCTCTCCAAGTGATAAGAGCAACCAATGAGGAGAGGTGCCATGCTGGACATTGTTCTCATCAACAAGGAGAGGCTGGTGAGGGATGTGAAGCTCAAGGGCAGCCTTGGCTGCAGTGACCATGAAATGGTGGAGTTCAAGATTCTTAGGGAAGCAAGGAGGGCACACAGCAAGCTCACTACCCTGGATTTAAGAAGAGCAGACTTTGGCCTCTTCAGGGATCTGCTTGAGAGAGTATCATGGGATAAAGCCCTGGAGGAAAGAGAGGCCCAAGAAGGTTAATATTCAAGGATCAACTCCTCCAAGCTCAGGAGCAGTGCATCCCAACAAAGAGGAAACGGCAAAAACACCAAGCGGCCTGCATGGATGAACAAGGAACTCCTGGACAAACTCAAACACAAAAAGAAGGTCTACAGAGAGTGGAAGCAAGGACAGGCAGCCTGAGAAGAATACAGAGAAATTGTTCGAGCAGCCAGGGATCAGGTTAGGAAAGCTAAAGCTCTGATAGAGTTAAATCTGGCCAGGGACATCAAGGGCAACAAGAAAAACTTCTATAGGTATGTCAGTGATAAAAAGAGATCTAAGGAAAATGTAGGCCCTCTCCAGAAGGAAACAGGGGACCTGGCTATCCGGGATATGGAGAAGGCTGAGGTACTCAAATTACTTCTTTGCCTCAGTCTTCATTGGCAAGTCCTCTAGCCACACCGTCCAAGTCTCAGAAGGCAAAGGCAGGGACTAGAAAGAGAACCGCCCACTGTAGGAGAAAACGAGGTTCAAGACCACCTAAAGAACCTGAAGGTGCACAAGTCCATGGGACCTGATGCATCCACAGGTCCTGAGGTAACTGGCAGATGAAGTTGCTAAGCCACTATCTCTCATTTTTGAGAAGGTGAGGTAGTCCAGTGAAATTCCCAGTGACTGTCAAAGAGGAAGCATAGCCCCCATTTTTATAAAGGGGAAAAAAGAAGACCCAGGGAACTACACGTCAGTCAGTCTCACCTCTGTGTCCAGCAAGATCATGGAGCAAATCCTCCTGGAAACCATGCTAAAGCACATGGGAAAAAAGGTGGTGACTGGTGACAGCCAACATGGCTTCACTAAAGGCAAACTGCCTGACAAATCTGGCGGCCTTCTACAACAGGGTTACAGTGTTGGTGGATAAGGGAAGAGCAACTGACATCATGTACCCGGACTTGTGCAAAGCATTTAACATTGTCTCACACAACATCCTTCTCTAAATTCTTTACACTGAGGGTGGTGAGGCATTGGACCAGGTTGCCCAGAGAAGTTGTAGATGCCCCATCCCTGGAAGTGTTCAAGGTGAGGTTGGATGGGGCTTTGAGCAACCCGGTGTAGTGGAAGGTGTCCCTGCCTATGGCAGGGGGTTTGGATTAGATGATCTTTAAGTTCCCTTCCAACCCAAACCATTCTATGATTCTATTAAGACATACAGCACACTTGTTAAGACATACAGCTCAGCAAAACTGACTACACTAGTAACTGCGATATAAAGTATGAAGCTCTACTGTCAACAACAAAGTCGCAGGTCCTCTGTCCTGACCACTGTCACTTTTGCTGTTCTTTTAGCAGCTTAGAATGCAATCTGAGCATGTAAACAAGCCAGTATAAGACTACATAAGATGCAAGTAGTGAGATGGTTAGAAAGCTGATGCTCCACAGCCATAAGGCTGCGACAGAGACAAGAGGGAGGTATATAGCCATATGAGATAGCTAAGTCCAAACACTGGAATCTCGATCCTGCTCATTCAAGGACTCATGATGGACCACTCCAATAACATTATCTTCATTTATGCTGGTGTTGTGCAGTTTAACAGGAACTGAAGTAGTTAGAATTAAACCAGAAAACACACAAACTTCTCATTCTGAAAGACAGAGACCCTTATTCTGAGACAGTAACTGTCTAACAAGACACTAGAAAATATACCGCTGAGGAAGTCTGAGATAGCAGGGAAACTAAGTTTGACCTATATTTCAGGTAAAAAAACCCTTAACACCTTTGGTCAAGTACACAACACTTCCATTGCCAAAGTACTACACAGACTAATTAACAGTGAGATTCTGAAAAACAGTTTATGATATCTTTAATACTGAATCTATTACTAATCGTAGATATTTAGTAATCCAGTATAATCTAGTAATTGCAGTAAAAAGCTTGTGAACAGTGAAGTTTGGTGGAGCAAAGTACATGTCATACACATATTCAGGTTTTTATATCAGACAGATTCTTGCTATCTCAAGTTTTTCAGTCCCTGAAAAAATGCAGAGAAATATTTAGTTTCTTTTTTTTTAAAAAAAACCCTCAATTATGATCATCACCATTCATCCTTTCTTGTACTTTCATCATCTTTATAATAACATAGCCAAGAAGTCAGTAAGAAAATGTTAATTGGGAGTAACAACAGAAGGATGACTTTGATGCACAGAATGACAGGAGTTATTTTGGTTTGAAGATTATACTCAAAGAAAGTAAGTTTTCTGCTTAAAAAAGAGGTAGTATCTTAAAAGTTCAGCTTTAACTACATTTAACATAATGCCCTTCTTGTCAGACATATTTCCTTTATTTTATATTAACAAATTAATTTTGTAATGAACTTGATGGTACAGGAGTATCTGTATTAGTTCAAAACATACAATGAGATTGCATAATACTCAAGTTTTCATACGTGGCTCAGTTTAAGCATCTGAAGTTTGATTTATAACCTACCTCCAGACTTAACCTTCAGCTCATGTCATTTTAAAATATCTGCTATGAAACTGAACGAGACAGTACCTCTGTGCAGTTTGCACTGAAGTCTAAAGTACTAGCAGCTTTAAAGTCATTATGGCTAATTCTGTAACGATATATAAAATTTAATACATGCTTATCAAGAAATTTGTGAATTTAACTGTAGTGTATTTTTGCATATAGTTTAAGAGATGTATACGAAGAGACTGTATTAGCACTGATTAAACCCATGAGATCCTAATTTTCTGAAATAAAATAGATTATGGCATGCAGTATGGAATTAATATTAGAAAGTCAAAACTCACATGGGAAATGGAGACCTTTTTTTCCTAACAATTTTACAAAAATAGTTATCACGCCCTTTTTAAGCTCACCTTCAGTATGGTCCCTATTAGATTCCAATTCCAGTCAAGGTTCTCTTTATGATTGAGAACTTGGCTGTCTCGAAGATTCATTACAAGTGCTTCTTCTGTATCCTGGAATACAGACATGAAAACTTCAGTAAGTTTCCTTGCATAATTTTTTTTAGTCTTGTCACATGATACACTTACTGTTCATGTAACAATCACTAAGAGGGCTATGCTCTACAGTAATTTGCATTTGAAAGTAAACTGCAGGGTTATAGTAGTGCATTAAGAATCTAATAGTAAAAGATCACAATTGGTCCTAAAAAGCATGAAAAACTATTGTAATTTCACTCATCAATTTCTAGAAATGCAATACAGTATCTGCAAGCACCTACAAGATAAATTACATGAAAAGGCTACTACAAAGAAATCACATAAACGGCTCTGAATTAGATGAGAGAGTGGAGGTCGGGGGGTGGGATCCAAGTCTCCAAAATACGAAGTCAAATTCAGTTTTGAAAAATCAATAATGGTAATACCTTTAAAATAAAGATATCTTTCTGCACACGGTACTGATCCCTTTTTTGGTGTGTTGAGATCGCTTTCTGAATAATATGATCTAAATGGAGGCTGTAAGGTTTGGGTCCTCTTTTCTTCATCTCATGAAAACGTTTTAAGCAGTTGAGTGCAGCACTTGCTCGTCTAAGAAAAAAAAAACTATAATCAGTATTTGGCAACTGTTATCGAACTAAAGAGCACTGCTATATCTTGAGTAAATAAATGCAGCTCAAGAAAGAACTGACCAACAACTCTGAAGCCAACAAAAAACAAACCAATTTTCTTGATACAAGTTCTCATACATCCATAGGCCTCAGTCATGTACTGAAATTATACAGAAAATTACCTTTCAGAATTTCTAGTACTGAAAAATGAGCTTCATTGGTACTTTTTCTTCTACTCTGCAATTAGTAGTGTCTATCACAGTCCACAGAAGATATTGTAAAGTTTAAAATATATCGATAAAGTATTGTGAGATGTCACAGTAGATCAATGTTCTGCGGTAAAGTTGAAAGTTGAGGGGGCTAGTTTCAGCTTTGACTAAAAGTATTTCTTGTAAATTCTTTTTTTTTTTTTTTTTTTTTCCCCAGAAGGTGGCAGGAGTATCAGTAGTATGTTTCTAGCTCTTTACATCTAAACAGTTCAGCAACAACATATAAGAAGTTTTCCAGGAAAAGACAGGAAGTAACAGAAAAGACAGCAAGGGCAGAAACAGTTAATTACAAAATAGTGGTAGCAATTAAAAAAAAGCAACCACCTGCTGAGCAAATACAATAAGCAAGTCTACAAATGAGGAGGAAAGTCTACATTTCTTCCCCCATAAACAAAAATTCTTATAGCGTAGGAGAGTGTTTTTATTTTATATTATCTTCAAACAAATAATTATGTATTCGGTCACTTATCTAAATTACATAAATTTAATCTGTAGCAGGGCTTACAGTTTTTCAGAGTATGAAACAACATAAGAGTGTTGACCAAAACCAAGATCCTCAAATAAAAAAATACTACTTCTAAAAATATCACCATCTTCGAACAAAAATGGGAATTCTTACTACTCTATCAGTATGTCCACAAATGCAAAAAAGCAAATAAAAATGCAAGTAATCCACAAACATATCCCGTCTGCTCTTCATCCTTCCTCTCATCCCACAGCTTTGATCAAGTGAAATATCCTGTGACGGAGCTTCAGATATGCCTTTTTTGAAAAATAACTGTGTTTTCATGTATCAAAATCTTCTACTGATATATAAGAAATCTTCAAAACTAAAAATCAGAAGAGCACTCCGTTTCTTGGAAGTACTCTAAAAGCATTTATGATTTCACAGTATCAGTTCAGAAAGATTCTGTAATTCATCACTGACAACACAATGAAAGACAAAAGTTTCGGTATATTTATCAGAATACTGAGCTGACAAGACAGATCAGGAATGGCAAGAGTAATCATCAGAAACGTTTCCTATAATTTAGTATTAGAAAAATACCTCAACACACTCAATTTAATTAGTCTTCCACAAAGAAATGCAAGTAAGAACACTGAGTTACAGAAACACATTTTGAAGACATGAGAAGCTATAAAGTTATTTGACTTCTTTCCTTAGGAGGTTTAAATTGTGTGAAGTACTCAGGAGATCGTATTTTATGACAGAGCACTTCAGAGGTTAAATTGCAAGATAGAAGATGCACTGAGAAATTCTAAAAAAAATAAGTAAAATAAAATAAAAAAGCCCAGAGCCTTTTAAAATATCAAAATTCAGATATTGCTAGTTCAAAGAGGAATAAAAAGCTTCTATAAACATTCAAGTTAGATGACTAAATACACCTCATCTGATTGGCACGATGATTGCCAAACAGTTCCCTAATGCAGCTTAACCACACGCCATTGTAGAATGTGGCACTAAACTTAAAATTTCTGTTCACGAATTCTTATATTTAAATAGAATTGAAGACATCATCGATGCAAACTTCAAACAAAAGCACCAGAAAGTTTTAACATAATTACTAGTGTTACAACCACTATTTTCCTCCGAAGGAAAATAAAGGTTTTAAAACAACAGAACAAAAAAAGTCTGAACAAACTACCAGCTCCATGCCACTATAACATTTTTTGATCTTGCTCACACTAATAATGACTCACTGATTTGGTCTATTACTATTTAATTAGCTATACATAAATAACAACAGAAGAAAAAAATGGTACAGGCTTTTTTAGTTTTGAAAGCTTAATTGCATCAAAATGTCAAAAAAGAAGTGTGAAATAATCGAGATTCAAATACACAGAACACGTCTCTGATGTTGCTCGGTCAAACAATGCCTTAGGGTTCATTTACGGAAACTTCTGTGTAAGTCTTGCAGTTTATGCAAAAGCATTCTGAATTCTACTACCAAAACTTTATTTCCAAATTACCACATTTCAAAATTGCTACTATAAACACTTTTGGAATGATGCACTATAAATCATTTCCCTAGTAAGTGTGACAGAGCATTTCTATATGCATGCATTTGTTTGCTTTTAAGTAAAGACAGCAGTGGTTTTAGCCACCATAAAACTTGTAAAGGAGGTTTTCACTCAACTGTAGGGGGAAAAGGAGATGTAAGTAATTTTTCTTTTAAGTGTAAGTTACAATTCTTACAGTCTTTTCTCTTTCATGATGTCAAAAGATGCTGCCATATTCATTAGCGTTGGTAAGCAGTGCAGGTGATGGCTGTGAGAATGAGGAAGAATTGTGTTCGCCTAAAAAACCAAAAAAAGACCAGTTAGAATAACTTATTACAACACTTTCAGTTGTCTCTTTAGGATCAACATTTGAAGTCTCAACCACTTTTCATAAAACTTTCACAAATGTATGACAACAAAACTGCCTTTTGCATAATGTCAGAGCAATAACTACGGAGTATTTTGAGTATTTGAACTCACTGATCAATCTGAACACAACTGAAAGTAATTTCAGACAATTTTAGATTTCTGAACCTTCCAATCAATTGTTTGCATTGGTGCTTTTTAAAGTAGTAACATGCAAGAAGGTGAAAAGCATCAGATATCCTTATGTCATGTGTATAAAAGTACCAAAAAAACTCTAAAATCAGAAATTTAAGCTGATGGTTTCTATTAAAAATTTTCTGCACACACACAAAAATCATCTGATTAATTAACATAACTTGCTAAGTTACTAGATATTTAATTGCTTTTATCTTGGGAAACACAGGTAGTTCTGCAAATATTTTTAGAAATTACAGAACAATGAAAATAAAGAAATTACTTCAATCTCTTAAACCTAAAGAAAAGTACAAATATTCGTTCAGTATTTTGATAAACAGTCATCTCTGACTAATGAATCATCTCTTCAGAAAACCAAAAAATAGCTACGCTTTGTAGCATACTCAGATGTCAGTAAATGCGTCCTGGTTTTACATGGGACAGAGTTAGCTCTTTCTTTCTAGCAGCTAGAAGAGCTCCCATTCAAAAGTATTTTGGAAACCAGAAAAAAAGGATACATTATTATAGATTCCTCTTTTTAAACTGGTTGACTGAATACTCAAGAAATTCCACCAATTAAAGAAAAATCACTAAAGAGATTAAAGAACAGATTTGTAGTGATTGTGACCCACACTGCTGAGCTAAGATGTTGTAAATAATTGCAGTAATAAGTAATCCTATATCTGAAGATTGTGATCTCAGTCTTTTTGAGCATTAAGCACTGCTGAAATGAGTCCACAGTCTGAAGATGTAGACTATGTCTGATAACTTGTATTAAAATTTTTGAATGACAAAGTTGCATTTCACAATCTTACCGTATCTTATAAAGTAGTTTATTTGGAAAAAAGATTGAAAAAAACCCAAAGGAAAACGATTAAAAAGTACTCAGCTGCATATGCTATTCTTGTTGTCAAGAGAAGATGTGAAAAATAAGTTTTGCAAGAAAGGTAAACGATTTCACTTCACATATGACTAAGAGCTCCTTGGAAGGCTGAAAGGTAGCACTAGAGTGTACACAAAAGCAATATAATCTATACCAAAATAGTTTAGGTTAAGAGAGAGAAGCTACTGTAAAAGACATGTTAGGTAGAGGAAAGTGGAACGAAGCAAGGTCCCTTTGGCTTCTCTGTAGCAGAGTCTACTCACAGTAGGTGATGAAAGACCATTCCACCAAGCTGGAGTTGCCTGAATGAAGAGTATCAAATGTCCCAGCCACATCAAGCTGAGCATGAAAGAAGTGTCATTTGCCTAGCCTGCGAGGCAGAAAGCTGAACACACTGCCAGAGGGCTACCATCATTCTAAGAAAAGCAAAAATCAGCAATGGTCCTTTTTCCAAACACAGTAACTGATAGGTGAGTTTGCAGGACTCCAGCTTAAAAATACAACTGGCTACTGAGGCACAGAAGTGTACTGGTGAGAGTTTAAGAGCTGAAGATTACCCTTGGAGCAAAACTCCTAGAACTTTCAATACTTTCCAAGTGGCCTTTCTACTGATTCATACTGTTTTTGATATATGAAGTACCAAAAGACGTAACGTAAATTAACCCAGTGTTCTGATGAAAAGTACATGTTCAAACTTCGTAACACATATGCAAAGCTGTAATAGGAAATATTTATTTACAACTAGCTACTAATACTACTTATTCTCAGCAAAAAGTTTTACCTACCATGTGCAAAAGTTCTCCTAAAAGGATAGTTGCTCTCACAGATACATGGTCATCACTACTTGTGATCACTTCAACCAGACCCTTGAAAAAGTTAAAAAATTATTACAACATTTAATGTAGAACATCTTATTTCAATGTTTATAGGAAAAAAGTAACAAGTATGTATTCAAACTTAAAGTCATTACTTACCTCTAGAAGTCCATTGGTAATAAAAGCTGAAAGCACTAAAGCCAAATAATTATCCATGAGATCAGGCCTAAGGAGAAAAAAGTACGGAAACAGTTTAGACAGTTCATGTCTTATTGTGTCTGAAAGAAAACAACAAGTATTTTGTCAATGCCACTACAAAACAAAACCAAGGGTTTAGGCTAGCTAAGTTCATTAAATGCTTACCTTGACCTGGCTCGATGGGGTAATATAGTTTTAGCTTCAGCAGCTACAAAGCCATCAGAAAGTCTCCAGCAGTCCTGAAACCTGCTTGGATCTAGAATAAGAAAATATGGATGATGGTAATTGTAACACTGGAATTTAACAGTGCTATTTGAATGGTTTTCTGTAGGTAAATAATAATTTTTGTCAACAAATGTTATTTCAGGTTTCAAATCATAGAAAATGTTGTCAGAAGGGATCTCTCACAAGTCATCTAATCCACACTCCTGAACAAAGCAAAGCGAACGTCAAAGCTAGGAAAAAGATGTATCTACCAAAATAGTGACGTTTCCAATTCATAAATACATTAAACTTGTTCAACACAAAATATTTTAACGCCTAAAATTTTAACATATACATCCAGAGGTCCCAAAGCAGCAAGTTTGCAACAAAGAATGATCTATTTACTTATAAACATGGAACAAGGATTAAGCTTTTACAATCAACTGCATGGCAAAATATTTACAACCAGAGTTCGGAGGAGAAAACTGCTGGAACATTAAAGGATGAAACTTGCTTCTTTTGGGGTCATAGTCTTGCACTGCGAGACATAGCAGAAGATACTCTTTGGTTCACAAAGGAGTAATTCTAAAGATAAAAGACTAACTCTGCTAAAGATAAAAATATGAAAAAGTATACATCTGCCTTAGGAAAAGTAAAAGTCTGCTCAAGTACAGTGGAGATAGCTAGCAGATACAAAACATATAGAAGAGACTCTGCTTAATAACGTTTCTGTAACATTCAATACCACTTCTAGGGCATGTAGTGATAGGACAAAGAGCAACGGATTTAAACTGAAAGAGGGAGATTTAGATTAGATATAAGGAAGAAATTTTTCACTCTGACGGTGGTGAGGCACTGGAATAGGTTGTCCAGAGAAGCTGTAGATGCCCAGCATCCCTGGAAGTGTTCAAGGCCAGGTTGGATGAGGCTTTGGGCAACCTGGTGTAGTGGAGGGGGGGGTTGGAACGAGATGATCTTTGAGGTCCCTTCCAACTCTAATCATTCTATGATTACCGATTCTTCTAACAGTTCAAAGAAGTCTAATTTGTAGTAATTCATTTACACAGTCTTTTGGGTAAATCCTCCATTATGCTCTACTGCTGATCTTCTATCAAACTTACAACACTTAACAGCTGATAAAGAATTTTAAATGAGACTTCAGAGCACCCAATTAATTCAGTGATGAAACAGTTAATATTGACATAACTTACAATATGGAGGAGACAGTGAAGAGTTCAAATTTGTAGAAGAGCTTAGTAGACAGAATTTTTATGTCATCTGGCTCTAAATACTCACCTACACTGAGAAGTGCCTCAATAAATTCTTCTGCGATAACAGGGAGAGGAAGGCGAAATATATCATAGAGAACTTCAAGCAGACCTCGCTACCAAAAAAACACAACCAAACCACAACAGGAAATTTATACATTACAAAAGTCGTCCTTTTGTTCACTTTTTATTAATATTAAAGTTTAGATTTCTATAAAATGCTAGAATTGGTGTACTTGTTTCAGTGTTTCTTTTTTTGATAACACGCTTAGTTTCATAAACTGAAAGAATCTGGAGAAGAGAAGAAGGGAAGGGGCTTGTTTACTTTAGCACTGTGCCTTATTGTCACTATGAATTCTACAGAAACTCAAGCTACGTGGATCACAGATTTTTAGAATAGTTACTGCTGCCACTATCAACTTCTTGGTTTAATAGGTAACCGGGAAGAAACATTTTTATTTATCTTGGATTCAACTCTGATCATTATGCTTCACACTCCTAACTGTAGCTACTGTGAACTTGCTCTGACATGTGACCAGAGTAAAAATTAATTTATGTACTTTCTTCTCCTCCATTCCCTCCTCTCAGACATACAGGATGCTCCCATTCTCACAGGGATTTTATAATTGAATTACAGACTTGAACTTGGGATCAAATAAACTTGAAGGTAGTGGTCTCATAACTGGCGTCTGTGTTTAAACCGCTACACTGTTAAAACGTTATGAATATGTTAATTAAAACATCCAATGTTATTCCTACATCAGTACTAAATATTTACCACTTACCCGTATTTCCATATTTGGTATACAGAGTACCCCAATAAGAGACTGAATCCCAGAATTTCCAGGTTTGCACAGGCTGATAATACCTACAAAACATTAAATACATAATAATATTCCCTCACCAAACAAAAAAAGCTTTGGACACATCATTAAATTTGATTTTCAGTCTGAGTACAAGAACAGATGGCAAAAATTACTAATCAGAAGCATTTTCACCTTTATAATGCCATCTCCTTTCCAATCAGTAATATTTAACAAAACTTTCTAATCACAAAACTTTGTTTGCTCATTAAAAACTACAGCTACTTTTGCCCTTTTACCGTGAACAGTAAAACTGTTACTGTGAACTGTAAAGCCAACATTTACATGAAAGAAAAGGCAGACAGACAAGACAAAATTGTCAGTAAAGAATGACTCTTAAACCTGAAAGATCCGCATCATCTCAGCAGAATGGCAAGAAGCTTCTCCATCAAAAGCTGTATCTTAATCTAACAAATTACTCAGTTCCTTTTAATTTCACGTGATTTTAAACAGCAAGTTTAAACATACTTGGAATAAAATTCTCTGTGCACCATTTTAAATCATCTTTTCCCAAAGATTTCCAGAAGTTTCAACACAGTAGATTTAACTTTGCATAAAATCTCAGGGCCTCTCTTGTGACTTGGCCCTTTCACACTGTATTTTTACTCAATTAGTATAATATTTCAATATTAACAGGGAAAACCTTCAAATTGTTTCTAAATGTTACAGAATACTGCCTAAAGCTGACACTGATTTTCAGCCTCAACTTATATACAGACTCTTCATTAAAAATGTGGCTGCAAAGGCAGTAACCATTGACCATTTATCTTCATACGTCACAGAATAAATTAAAACTTGCAGAAGCATGCTATCCAGAAAACAAACAAACAAGTTTCTCCAAAATGCTACTTTAAATGAACAAAAAGAACACAGGTTTACACATCTTTGTCTTACGTATCATAAATAAACCCAAACCATCGTTCTTTAAAAATTACTAAAAAGATGAAAAATGTCACCTACTCATCTATTTTCACTAATAGAAATTAAACTGTAATGACATGTGCTTTATATGAACTTGAAGAAAGTCCTCAATTTCAAAACTTCCACATCACAAAAACCTAACACACACACACACGTGGCCACAGACACACTAAGGGCATTTAAGTATGTTCCACAGTGCACCTCAGAGGCCTTTTCCAAGAGCATATAGTCGTCATATCCCAATTGCAACACAGGAATAGATTTTGGTGCATGCAGTCATTGCTGCATGCCCTAATTTTATCTCTAAGGTCATGATCACACATGAAGATAAAGGACACAGTAACCATGAGCTCTGAAGAATAATCCAGTCTGGAAAATAGGAGTGCAGAACAGTAGAACACAGCAGATAGTACAGACAGGCAAAAATCACACCCAAAAAGCCAAAACAAAAAACGGGAATATCCTCAAGTTTGGTGTACCTACATGTCCTTTGGGAAGACTGACAGTGTAAGGATATTTTTGACTAAAACAACTTCAGATGTTAGTCTCCAATATAACAAGTAATATAAAAAAGGATGAACGTGTAACAGTGAAAGTGCCACGGTAAGTAACATATTTCAAGACAACTGTTTCTTCAGTCACTTGAACTTTCATACATATGCTATTAGTTCTAAGTGTCTGAGCAAGGGAAGATGAAGGAACTCTCCTATCAGAAACCACTTCCTAGAAGTTTCAAAGCTGTCACAAACTTCCCAGGCTTCCTCCCTGAACAAGCAAAGACACATGTGAGAAACTTTTGAAGGATACTTGGATATTAAATTACGCTTACTGATCATTTTCAGAACATCAAAAAACAAAGAAAATAGTCTTAAAATTAAAAAGGCTTCCTATACAGTCTGAATCTTTCCTAAATACAGCCTGTAAAAATCCTACCCAAATTTTGATAAATGGTCATATGAATCAGTTTATTTCCAAGACACTGTCTTGACTAAAATAGTCAGTAGTCCCTGAGGCAGTATCTTCACGTTAGATATTGTAATACTGCAGAGAAAGGATTTAGAAAAACGCAAAAACTTGTTTCACCAATTTAGAAACGTCTTCCACATGAGAAAACCCAAACTACGTCCAGCTGCAATTTCTCTTCAGCTATGGAACCTGGTAAAAACAGGTGCTAATGAAACCATCCTGTTGGTATCTCTTCACATAGACAAAAAGATTTCTTATTTACAGTGGCAGAACCATCTCAAAGGCAAATTCTTATGATACGATGTTATTTCCAACACCCTCTCACCCATCAAATGTCAAAATGTACCATCAAGGTATAACTTATATGTTATTCCATAGCGGGGGAGGAGGAAAAGCTGCATCTTGTCAGTAGAGTTAGTCGAAGAAAACTATGTATGCATACTCTAATCTTACAGTATCAAAACATATCTTAGTAGCACCGTAGGAACGTATTGATAGAAATCACACACATCAAATGAGATAGATTCTTATGTTTAAACAAACCACTCCTCTACACTAGAAAGTAAAATTCCCCTTCCAAAGATCCAGCTTCAAACAAACAAAATGTCTTACCTGCCCATGATCGAAACGCCGCCACTATCCCCATTTTACTAGCTAGGAACCGTGCTTCTCTGTCCTCCCTGTCATTAAAACAACAAATGTCACAATACAGTTAATCACTATAAAACAAACAGTGTTACTAACATAGCAAGTAAAAAGTAGTTAACTGAGACTTTGGATGGGGGACAAAATCCAGAGTTGGAGAAATCTTTTACATACACATATATGTGTGTATATGTATTTATGCAATGTGTAAACACACACATACGAAGATCAGAATTTTTAGCTACTGTTACTTTTACTTTTTCAGGGGAGTTTCCATGGTAGGAGGATAACATCACAAAGTAAACACCTATATGTGGTCAGATGAATCGCTCTGCGCCTTCACAGACAGCAAGTCTACAGCAGAGACCTAAAGATTTAGACCTTATTCAGTTACCTAGATCTAAGCATCTAAAGCCATTTGGTAATTAAAAAAAAAAGAATAATTCAAGTTGGGAAGCAATCTCAGGAGGTCTCTAGTCCAAACTCCCGCACAGAGAAGTTGTCAGCTTTGAGATCGGACCAGGTTATACCCAAGGCTTTATCCAGTTGAGTCTTAGAAACTCTCAAGGAGGAAGGCTGACCGTATGCACAGCCTGTTTCAACACTTGACTGGCTTTGCACAAAATTACACCACCCCCCTGCTTTCCCCCCTTCCACTCTTATATCAAGCTGCAACCTCTTGTTTCATCTTCTATCTGTTGCTCCTTGTCCTCTCACCTTTCAACATCATGAAGGGCCCTGGCTATATCTTCTTGGTAACATCTTCATAGGTATTAGAAAGGCTGCTATGTGTGGGACAGTGTCGCCCAACCTTCTCTTCCCCAGGCTAAACAAGCCCTTCTAAACCTTACATGCTTAACAGTATTTTAAGAAGTCACATTCTAACCCACGGCATTCAACTTCAAGTGTTTTAGTATTAGGTCATTGCTTTTATTATCAATTTGGAAAGAAAAATAATTTAATTCCAGTACCATGAATACAACTCGTAGCACAAGTAGCAGCACTAACACTTACTTGAGTTGTCCTTCTGCTGTGTCTGGATTATGCCTGTAGTGAAAATCTGTGTAAGGAGCTAAAATTCGCTGAACAAAAGAAAGACATGCATTACTTTCACATGAGAATACAGTTAAACGGGTCCTGCCCTTTCCTCAGTCCCACTCCAATCTGTCATATTATTCCTGCTTTATAAATCATTATGCTCTTAGCCTAAAATGTTGTATTTTAAACATTTTGCACTAACATAGAGGGTGAAATCTGAGATGAATATTAAACATTTTCATTAGTAATACATTTAATTTCTGTCACTAAACAAGTAAAACTGAACCCACCTCTAATTCTACATCTGCTCGCACATACTGCCGGGTCTTTGGATGATTAATGAGGTGCAAAACTGTAGTTATCAGAGCCTCATTTATTCGGCTTAGCTGACAATCAATCACGTTTTTCAAGATGGTACTTAAACCACCCCGAAGAGCCACCACCTCAGGATTCTGAAGTGCTAAACAAAGGAAAACATGTCACTTCGGACAGTGTGAAAGGAAAGAAAACATTTCACGGCTTCCAACACGACACACTTGTCACCTCTTTAGTACATATATCATTTTCTTCCTGAACACTGCTGAGGAACATGCAAAGCTTTTAATGGAACTGACTGACATTAGCAACAAATTGTTATTTCGGATTAAGTTATCATGAACAAAAATACTGGTCAGCCACCATTGTGCAGCAATTTCCCAACTTATTTCCAATCAAGTTTCCATACAGTAGTTTCTGAATTTCCCCGCAAAAAGTGTTTCATGCTTCATTGGACTGACATGGAAAAAATAACTATACTAAAATATGAAAGAGTAACAGATTGATTATTTCTTTAAAACAGAAGTCTGTATCTTGAAAACATTGTTGAAGTTATTTCTCGTTGACTGGCTTTGGAAAAAAAAAACACTTTAAAAATCAGCACCCACATACAAGTATAGGGAGTTAGTATAAACCACTGTCTAGATAGCCTTCACATGGACACAAATACTGACTTCCAGAAGCCAGCTAACCACAACATCCACTGTAAAAAAATTTAAATTTTAAATGTTTTACAGTTCTCTGAACTCTCGTACATTTGTCAGCATCTCATGTACGGAAACCTCGCTACTTCCAATCCACTAGTTTTAGAAACATCATCTGCAGCAGGGAAACGTTTTTAAGGTAAACCAAAATCCGGCAAGTCTTAAAGAAAAGAACAGCACCCGAAATCTTCAGGTACTCACTTAAAAATCTTTTAAGTTAAAGCGATTTTGTTTTATATCTAATTAATGACTAAAATCCATTAAAATGACATTAAGAACATTTAACATCTGATTCATTATTGAACAAATACCCTTAATTATTTGAATACCATCTATTTCGTATGACTCCATAGAAGAGAATCTCTCAGAAAACTGATGACAACCATGTCAAAATTTATCTTAATTAGCTTTCAGTTATCTTACCTAGTTCACAGATAATGGCTATACATGCTCGAACCATTCTGTCTCTTTCTTGAAGACCATCATTTCCAACTGCTATCAAAGAATTAGTAATAGAACTGGGGAACAATGAAGCATTCACAGTGATCATCTGCCAAAAATGAAAGAAAAGGCCCTTTGATTTCTTCATAATATTTCTCTCAATACACTCACAGATTTACCAGCATTCGGTTTCCTAGATAAAACCAGACAGACCACTCCATATATCACCTGGTTGTACCTGGCAAATCCTCAAAAGTGTTTCTTTTGTTATTGAAATTCTTTGCCAATTTACTTTACCATTCTACTCCTGCTTCTTTTTTGTTTTAATATTATTTTATCATAATTGGAAAGGGTTAAAAAGATGACTGTTGCAGACAGAACTATGGCTACTATTTTCATATTTTTTTCTAAGAATTTCTTTATCGACAAAGAATGCTGTATAATGACACAGAGTAGATTACAAACTCTTCTAGAAGATTCATTCATACTGCAGCAGATTCTTCAATATCTATTTAACTGTGTAATTAGCCAAGACTAAAAAAAAAACGCAACAAATTTGAGACAGAATAGCAGAAAGATTTTAACAGCCAATGCTCATTTACACTACTAAAGAGGTCCTGCACCATAGGAAATCCTCAGCTGCCAGTTAAGGCCAAGCAGAATTTACATCAGATTAAGGAGCAAGACCCTGTGCATACATTAAGGGCTAAAAACACCACTCCAAAACAACCAACCAATCACTACTCCTCACCCTCCTCCAAATCAGGCTTTGACTACAAAGGCTGAATAGCTATTTGTTCACATTTTTTCACAGATTGCAATAATGAAATATATGTCCTCTATACTAAGGAATATGAACATCAGTGAACAGATATCACAAAGGAGGAAGTAGTTTTTTTGTCTGACTGCTTAAAAAGGGAACAACTTAATATGTTATAGCCCACTCAACCATGCAATTTCATCTATTTCCACTAATAAATAAAAGTGAGATGTAAAAAAACCCCACTCAATATCCATCAAAAATCTAAAAACTTTTTGCTAATTTTCCAAGGTTTTGTTTAATATCCCTCTTGTTTTCAACAAAAGCAGGCTTATCTTGATTATTTTTCCAAAACGGTTTTGTCCTATATTCATTTTACAGCTCCCTTAGATATCTTACAGATATTTGTCTAAAGGGGACTGCATTGCTCTCTTTGCAGACGATGTCAAAATGAGATCAACCATTATGACAAATATATTGGAACACTAACAAGTTTATTTTTAAGATGTGTTTTTAAGAAACTTCTTTTCACACATAATGTGGTCACCCACAAAACAGGAAGCTTTAAGACAGGACTCTAAAGAAAAAACAAACTCTTCCCCACCTACACAATCTTTCACTTTTACAATGGCATGAAGTAGAATGGGTTTATCAATCCACTCTGCAAAATTATAGCCATTTACCTATTGACACCGACATGTGAGGACACAAGCAGCCTCTTAAGGCTGTTCTGCTTCATTGGTTTTAAGACATGAGAAGGAAAGATTTCTTTAATATTCAATTCCAAGTACATTAGTGGAATGAATAAAAACTTTTACATTTGCTTTTGTTCTGCTCTAGGTATTTAAATGCAGTTCTAAAGACCAAGGACGGTGATACAAGGCTACTTATATGCAGCTAGGATGCAATGAGTAACAAAAGACTATGAATTTGGTCTTTAAAGATTCCTCCAAAAAAGAGGAAGAAAAAGGTGCCTCATATTGTACCTAGCCATGGTTGGACTCGATGATCTCTAAGGTCTTTTCCAACCTAGAAATCTATGAATCTATGAATCTATGAAACTAGCCCTGACTTCTGTTTTGAAAAGAAAACATCCTGCCTATTAAATTATTAAAAAAAACCAAACCAGTCTTATTGACTTCTATCAGATGAAAAAAAAGTTTCTGAAGCAACTTTAGACTGTCCTTTTCATGGCTGAAGACACTACTAAACTGCAAAGCTCTTAGTAGGAAACGTAGAAGTGATTTGGAACTAGATGATCTTTGAGGTCCCTTCCAACCCTAACCATTCTATGATTACAGTCAAAAGAGTCAATGAGTACTCGAAGCCTCTAAAAAAAATAAAATAAAATCAGAAACCAAGTTTTAAAACTTCAAAGTTGTTTTTCTTTTCTCTTCCTATACTACTTTAACCTGCACATTTTTTAAAACAAGTTTATGATTAAGTGCCTTTTACAAATTAATTAAAACAGGATTAATATTTTTTATTTTGTTCTTCTACTCTATGAAAAGTAAGAAAAAGAAGTGAGAGAATGTTTTAAAGTTTTATATCTATGCTATTCTTACATAGGCATTTTTGTTTTCAAAGATGAGGTTAAAAAATTGCATCCAGACTCTGAAACTGAAAACAATAGTTCTGCAATGCGGGTAGAACACAGTTCAGCTCTCCTATGGCTCACAGTAAATTATCTCCCGCAGAACGAATTAACTCTTGATTGTTTTATTTGCCATGCATTCTCCTCTTCTAGACATTAATATATAATCTATCAGGAATCCTAGTATCAAATCACTGGGTCTGAGATATTGAGGCAAATGGAAAGATGGGAAAAAGTGAGAGTAACAAAAAAGATGATGGGAAAATACAGAAGGTACCATTCAGGACATTGTATCACGGTATTACTTGTGTGAGGGTTTCTCGAGTACTGCTCTATGCCAATGCATGCTTAACTGCTGTAGCCCAGATAGGACATCAAATTTTAATGGTAGCTAGGCTGGGCAGCTTTTTGTTTGTCTGACATTGACTTTTCAGAAACAAGCTTGTTCTAAGCAGCATAAGATGTTAGGAAACATCTTTCATCAAAGTTCACAGCATTGAAGAACCATCAGCATCCCTGTACAGCATGTATATTCCATGCATGTATGCCTCATGCACAGCATGCTTGTGCAATGATGGAGAAAAAACCACACTGGTGGTCAGCTGTGTAATTTTTTAATGCTTATCTTTCAGGATCATTTTTTCAAATCAAACGAATGGATTTACTTCTCTTGCTTCTTCTTATTTCTTTCAAGCATGGCAGAAGTCTTTGCTCTACTAGGAAATCCTCAAAAAAGCCCGGGAATAACAAGGACAAATTTCTGACTCAAATAAAACCAATTCATTCTAAATGTGTTTCCAATCCATCTTCTGATTTAAGCTATTCTGGCTCTACATTGAAGCTCTTCTTTTAAAGCAGATTAGCAAAGATCTTCTATAAATTGCATCTTCCTCAAGGATTCATTCCTTTATGGTTGCGATTTTGTTAGTTTGGGTTTAGGGGTGGGGTGTTGTTTAAGCTTTAAAACTTCCTTTTTGGCACAACTGTCAAGCATATTGTCTCTTCTGTAAGACAGAAACCAAGCTAGCTCATTATAGGAAAAGAAATTGCGTACCAAAATTCCATATATTCAACCTAAACACATATTTATATTAAAAAATACATATACACACAAAACAGATTAAACACACTGTGCTCCTGGGGAAGTATTCTTCCAACTACTTCAAATTTTACTTGAGTCTTTGGTAGTTTTTTGTAAGATGCTCATCAGAAGTAGGAGAACATAAGCATGATAAAAGAATAGTAAAGTCCAGTACAAAGGCAGAATACTATGTTGCCTGAAAAAGTACCTTCAGTAGCAATATATGCCAATTTCTCTAGGATGAACTCGAAAATCCAGCTACCACAGCTTCAAACATCTCATATCCATGGGTTCACAGCACAGTAACCACCACAGACTAACTATGTCTTACTGTGTATCTGAGAAAAGAACTATGGATAGCATCAACCTCTATGGATAAAGCAAGAAGGCCAGAAGCATTCCTTCAACATGTCCTGTTTCTCAAATGGTAGAAAATCTCTCATCCTTGATTCACAGATGCTTAAACACACTATACAATAAAGTTATATCATTAGATGAAACTTAGTAACATGGTTCTTATATCTTTGCATTCATCATTTGGCAAGTTTTTCCCAAATCTTGTCCAGTATGATCCTTATCAAAGGAAAATTAAAAGGATTTTTTAGCCCACTCAAGATTCTCAGTGGCAAGAGATTAAAATCAAAACAAGTCTCAGTCCTACCCTTTGTTTCGAATTAGCATAGCTGGTAAGACCATACATAGTTAGATTTTACCTTTCTGACTAATCGAAGTGCTTGTGTTCTTTCTACTTCATTACTCTGCTGTATGTCAATGCACCTAAAATAAGTTTAAAAAAAACACATTTTGTTTATAACAACGCTTTCACCTTAACTGTTAACACCTATCATTAGTATTTATGCAATTAAATACACAGAAGAAAAAGAATACTATGACTGATTGTTTAAGAAATTTTCCCTTCAGCATGCATATTCATTATGATTGGTCAATTAGCTTTGGTTTACATGTTTTTCAGTTATCTTCATTACAATAAAATCACTAGAGTGTTCTCAAACATCCAGTGGGAAGGCATAACAGCTTCAACAAATATTTTCTGAGCTATGTGCATTTGTCATTTCAAACAAGATAAACAAAGTATCTGTAATGTTTCACACCAACATATTTTGTGTGTGTTCTCAGATCAGAAAAGTCTTTTTGCTTTAACAAAATTAAACTGCACACTAAAACTATTTATAAACAGAAACACATACATCTATATCAGTGTATTAAATCCAACAAAATTTTAACCAAGGGAGCACCAGAAACGGTAGCATTTACATCTGCTCATCATACTGATCTGACGTCATTGTTAGTCTGCACTTTGGTATTGTTCTGTTACATCATGAGTTATGCTGATTACAAATTCTTGGGCATGAACTACTTTTTAGCCTCAACTTTAGTCTCCGAAACACTGTAATAATAAAAAGAATAAAGAGCAACTCCCATAAAAAAAAAAACTTAAACCATGAAAATTACTGATGTTTCAACCTTCGAATAACACCATAGATTAATTTCTGATTAATGGCATTTATGATTGAAAAACAAATTTTTTACATTACTCATAGAGTACCATATATTAGGATAGCATTTTATTTGGATTAACTGGCGTGATGTATTATCCTATTTTTAAAGGATGTTATTCATATTGAAGAAAAATGGCTTTTATATAACTACATATCAAGAATGTAAGAAGATATGAAAACACCTTCTCTCACCTGTTTCAACCATGAAAGAGCAAGTGATTTACAACTGTACACAATTTACAATACGAAGGAAGAGAAAAATTACCTGGCTATCAAGTAATCCACTTTCAACTTTAGCACCTTCTGGAGGATACTGGAGTCTCGAATGAGATAGCGGAGGGCTCGCAATCCTGCTGCTCGCACCTCTTTTGCTTCGTTTAGTAAAGCTAACCTCAGACTACAATGAAGAAAACAAGGGGACGATCAATTATTCAACAGCAGGTAAACATCACAATCTGACATACAGCTAATACCTACTCTTTTAAAATAAAAATTCTGATTTTTAAAAAAAGAAGTGTTCTGCATTAATTTTCTGTCTGCACCTGTACAAGCCAGAAAGCAAACCTTCACCTTGCCAGCAGATGTAGACAATGTACTAATCTGAAGAAGCCATAAAACGACTTTTTTTTCCCCCAAAGAACAGCCTGTACATCCATGAAATGATACATGACCAAGACTTGCACACAACTTGTTATTTGACAAAACAGCTGAGCACAATATTAGTGCAATAAAATTAACAGGAAGAGAGCACCTCCTCCTCCACCAGACTGAACACCTGTGAGCACAAATCCTAAAAACAATATCTTGACACCTAATAGAGAAGAATTCGCACCTTAAGTACTTACACGCACCACTCACTAAAGATGTCATGTCACCCAGTTATATTTACATGAAATATGACAGTCATAACTTAAGCAGCTCACACAGCACCAATTTCTACAGATTTCACTTGGACATAAAAGCAAAAGGTATTTCTCTTTAGACAGATTTTGAAAGCATTTTACTCACACAGAGGTGAGTTCTCCTAAACATAACTGTTGTCATAATGTAGTTTCCTAAATTCACAATCTAGGTAAAAAGAAATGAAATACTAAAGGCCTCCAGAGATGGGAGTTTGAAAGTATCAAGTGACACTCTGTCCTTTTTAAGGAGCTCAACAGGCTGGGAGGGAGCACAGCCAGGACAAAGGGGCCGCAATTTCTCTTCGGATTTGAACTCAAAACTTTGGATTGAGGGCTAAATTGGCCAATGAAGTACTCCGTATCATGCGATGTCATGCCCAGTACATAGATGACGGTTGACTGGAAAGAAGGGCTTTTGCTCTTCTAGGACTCTCACTCTCAGAGTGCTCTCTCTCTCTCTCTTGTTCTCCTTTCAGGCCTCACGCTCGTCTGAGATTGCAGTGTGGGGACTTACATCTGTTTTGGGATCACTTTTCAGGCCAGGCCAGGCCAGGCACGGGTGAGCATCACTTGCATCACACTGTGCATCACTTGTTTGTATATATCATTATATATATACACTCACATTTTATTATTACTTTTAATTTTATATTGTTATTAGATTGTTCATATCTCAACCCACGGGTCTCCTTCCCTTTACCCCTTTAATTCTCTTCCCCATTCCCCAGGGGTGGGGAGGGTAAGCAAGCGGCTGTGTGGCATTTAGTTGCCAGCTGACACCATGATATTTTTCATTAGGATAGCCAAATACTGAATCTGGATTTTCTTCCCCTTATCAAGTAAAGTACATTACTTTTATATTTGAGAGGAAAATGTTTCTCGAATGGCAGACCAAAACAATCTTTAGACAAACAGTTTCCCAAAACCAATCAATGCTTTGAAAGCTAGTTCTACAACTCACAAGAATGAAGATATTCTTAATTTGTAGATAGAAGTTAATTTAAGAATTGGCAGCAGTGAAAGCACTACAAAGGCCAATGCTATCATGAGATTCAACAACCAAAAGCAGAAAGTACCAAAAAGAGATGTGTCACTATCTTTAAATAGTGAGAATGCAATGAAAATATATAGGTAGTCAGAAAGATATAGACCTAAAATAAGTGCCATAAAAATCCATAAAGGTCCAGTGAAAGCAGTGACATATAGAAGTGTACAAAGCTGAACAAAAATCTCTCCATTAAAAACAAAAACTGAGCAAAAACTGAGCAAAAAGACCTCACCAGTCAATGACTGAACTGCAGAAACCTGAGACAAACCTGACCTTATAAAGACAATGAATATACGTTACAGCAGGCAGAAAAAAAATACGTAAGAAAAACTTATGTGTGTGTGTCTGTATATGTCTACACGTTCTGACTTCTCAGCTGTATCACAAGGAGAAAACTTCAAAAAACTAAAATCGAACCCACTGGACAACTCAAAAGGAAAAGGAGAAGGAATGACGCAAATAAGAGATCGATATACGACAGAAACAAGCATTTTCTTCATATTAAGTCACTGCTTTAGAGATCTGCATGAAGATTCCTATCCTAAAGCCTTTTTTATTATACAAAATATGAGTTAGACTAAATGAAAATGATGGAAGAACTGGAGAAAATCTATCAGTAAGTATTGTCAGCGGCCCACCAAACTTCACATCTGAATGTTTGGAAAGAACTTTAACGTGTATCTTAGAAAAAGATGCGAGAATGATCCTGTAATAGGTAGTGAATGTCCTTTCTTATTCCATCCTTTGTTAGTTCTTCCAGACTTTTTATCAGTCTTAATGTTTATCAGCCTTAATGCTGTCTTACGAAGAAGTAATTTTCATTTCTGCAGTGACACTTAAAATACTGGAGCAAGTAGTATTGCACTTGCTTTTACACAATCATGATGTCTTTTTGGCACTTTCAGCCACAGATGCACATGGAATGTGCATATCAATTTTCTTGATGTGATAATTATTGTAGAATAATGTAATATAGGTCTATAACGCAGTTTTTGTCTTGACACACGTCACATCTTAACAATCCTGAATTTTCTTCACCATCTTATTAACTATGCATACAGATAATTTTTAAGTTCCCTCGAAGTTTCTCATAACTCTATCCTATTCTGTTCTAACTGTGTTGCTGTTTGTGTTTCTGCCCCCCTGCTTTCTTCAAATCAAGAATTGTACACTAAATACTGCCTACTAAAGGAGTCTGTGGACCTGGATAAAAATCAGGGCAAAAAATTATCAGGATAAAAGTCCTCCACTTACCTCCACTCTTAGAATTCATCTTTTCAGATTTTGATTCGTGAAACTACTTTTCATCACTCTATAATCTCTTTATATCCCTTAATACAATCTTCAGCAACACCTTATGCCTTTGTGTACACTATTGTAATAACTCCTTTCAAGTCTTGCAGAAGCTTAGTAAAGTATAGTTTGTGTAACGTCTACTGGTGCTTCACCAGTTTTATTTTAAGATGATTTTATTTTAAGATCATAAACAGTCCTCTGGATGCCCTTTGGAATCCTTTTTGTGTAGACCTCTTTATCAGCACCTTATTATAAACAGCAGTGGCTAAGGTGGAGAAAAGGCGGTAAAGAGTTCCAGTGCTCCAGTATTTTAAGTGTCACTTCAGAAATGAAAATTACTTTGTAAGACAGCATTAAGGCTGATAAACATTAAGACTGATAAAAAGTCTGGAAGAACTAACAAAGGATGGAATAAGAAAGGACATTCACTACCTATTACAGGATCATTCTCGCATCTTTTTCTACAGCATTTCATCCATCAGCTACAGAAAGATAACCATGGTTTCGACAAATCTCTGATCCAGCCAGGTAATCGTGAATAATCTGAGTTTTGTTTTTACAGTCAAAGCCTCTTGGCACATTACAAAAAGACCTCAAAATTTTCTGAGGCCTACCAACACTCCATTTTCTTCATGGCTCAAGGTTTCCTCTCATCTGTCAATGGTATGGTGCTCTGGGAACTGAGGAGACCCATCTACACTGGGAACGACAACAAAATGCATCACTATTATCTGTATCTGCTGGCAGGAAGAAACTATAATCAGACACCTGGCCTAACAAAATTCTAAAAAGAGAATGAGTTCTAAAAACCAGATCTCTAACTTGAGAATAACTGCAATTATTTCAGACTGCAACTGTCTTTGGTTTGGGTAAATATTCAATCAATGTTACTGACCTCAAAATCTAGAACTTTATAAGAAATCTATAATTACTCTTGAAATTATTGATTCCCTTATAGCTTAATACTTTAAGGTTAGCCATTCATACTTCACAAATGCAGAAAACTCAAAGTATTTCTTGCATCCAAATAATTTTTTTTATGTTTTCAAAGAAAACCAAGTTTGTTCTGTAGTACAAAAAGGTTTCACTATGGAAATCTAAGATAAGGTCAGGAACATCAGCAGAGCAAATTACAGAATTTGAATGTTATTTCCAAAGGAATTTATGTGCTTAGCCTACCTGTAGGTTGTTTGTTTAATTAAGAAGTTCAGTATTTGCAAGTCACTGAAATACTGCACATAATGGCTGTAGGCTGTATATAATCTGCAAACAGAGTACTACTGCAGTAGTAACTTACAGGCTGCAACTCTGTAGAGCGAAATTTTTAAATTTGCCTGAAAAGTCTTTATTTCATTAAAACAATCCATCCTATAAGTATCTCCAAAGAACCACCAATGAGCACAATTATAGTTGTTAAAATGTGACTATTTGAGTGGTGTTCTTGAGCTTGAAAATCATCACTATAGCAGAATAACCTACATATATGCATAACAACTTTTGTTTCTTATATACATACACAGAGGACTCATTGGACTGACCAAAGTAATGACACTAACAAAGATCATTTTCCAGCTGTTTGTCCTTTTATTTTTTTGAGAAGTCATTTTTGGCATTCTTCTAAGTAGAGGGCTATTTTCCTTCATATGTCTGAGAAAAACGTTTTTCTCTTCCTTATCAATATCTGTAATTGCGTTTGGATTTGCAGATCGTTCTGCAAACTTCTACCTATGAAAACAAATGCTAGTATTTGCATAACCTTTTAAGACTTGTATTTAAAAATATTTGGTAAAGAACTCTGAATTTTGAAGTTAGACTCTTAAGTGATGTTTAGTCCCATCATAAAGCACTACAATACATTACATGAATAAAGAAAGAAGATTATAATCTATTAAAGCTTACAGCAAAATATGCACTCACAAAAATATATCAACATTATTTTAATTTTTTTTATTTTTTCTCCTAGCAAGGAAAATCAGTCCTATTTAAGAAAACAAGTTACAACGTTTCCACAAGAAATTATACAAGTTTTCCCAACACTATACTTAAAGAGTGACTAGCGTTTCCAGGCTTGCATTCTTAAGTCAGATAACTAAACTGAAAGAACACAAAATCATATTAAGTACTATATCTTGGTTGTTTCTGCCACCAAGGCTGAGCCCCGTGACAAATTTACCAATGTCTGTGTAGAAACACAAAATTTCTGGAAGTAAGCATGTAGTTACTTTTGAGTGTCAGAAATGGCAACAAAATATAGAAAAATTCCACTTGAAAGTATATACACAAGGCATTTTAGTAGCAAGGAAAGCAACACCATGAACATATAAAACCACACCAAATTAACATAAAATGTTTCTCTTTAAATCCTGATTCTACATAAAGAGTATGGCCTGAATTCTGCAGGTGGACATTTTTACTACAAGTGCTTTCTCCAAGTACACAGCTATTTAGAGGTATTTTTACATCTATGAGGAATACAATAAAGAAATCCACACTTACAATTTGGAGGTTTTTTTCCTCTTTGCCCAAAAGTGAATAACATATTTTTGATTTTACTCATTAAAATACTTTATAAGGTCTATGTTTGCATTATGAAATTTCAAACACATTAGAAATATAAAATTATAGCTCAAAAGTACAAATAAAGTTTATTTAATCGCACACAAAACAATTGAAGTACCCTAGTACTGCACTAGTGCTCCCTATTACTTACCATATTATGATGCTGTCATACGTAAAACCTAGCTTTTCTTCAGCATGGCCAGCATTACAAAGAAGCTGAAAATAAAAGAAAATATCTATTACTTATGACTATTTAAAAATTACTATGTAAAAACGTAGATTTCTGGCAATGATTTCAAAGAGACCTAAGGAATTTCAGTCACGGTAAGGGAAAGTGTACCAACTTTATTCCTCCCTGAGAACTTCTGCTGTCAGTAGTTCACATGCCAGACACACACAAATCTGTGGCCTCTCATAGTAAAGAAAAGCTTGCACAATTGTGTAAGCTGCCAACTGGTCAATTTTTCAACTCCAGATTGTTGCTCTTGCTGCCTTTAAGCTCTTTTAGGAAGAGTCACTAGTTGGGCAATTGGTAACCTGAGCAGATATGAAAAAGACTGAAGTCAAAGAACATCTGCTATGTACTATGAGGTTCACTGTCATGTTTTCCCACAGCAGCACAGGCGAAACCAATCATAAGCAACTCCCAACTGACATTTGGCCTGGCCTGACAATGATTCCATAGAACATGTACCTCTGAAAAATGAGTGCGAAGTTTGAATTTATGCACACAAAAAGACATCTACAAACCGCTGCAAATTCTGAACATTTCATCCATATCTGTCCATTTTGAACATGAGACTGAAGATTTACCAGTCCAGTTTTTACATCCAAAACCAATCTCCAAAGGGGCAATCTATTGCATGCCAATCTTTTAAGCCTCTTGAGGAAAGGAAAACAGTCTCTTCTGCAGGAAGAGCTGATGCTGTCCCCCTCTGCAAGAGTGGAGAAGAAATTCCTAGCAATCTCATTCACTATGCCTAGCTAAAATTATAAAATACTGTATTATCATGTCCAAATACCAAAACACTTTTCCAAGCACTTCCAAAAACTCAAGTGACTAATACTGATTACAAAAGCTTTGCCCTTTGCCCTCACTTTTAAAACAGGCATGTGTTCAGTTCTGAGCCAGCAAAGTATTAACGGTTTCTCCTCAGTGAGGAACTCAGGAAGTGTTTGTGCCAATTAGTGAATAACCCTGGTTCTGAAAGTATTTAAGTATATAAAACCCTGTGCCACATTCTTTACATGTACTTACTGCTAACAATAAGAAATTTATAACAAACTAAATGAACCACTAAATTAAGGCTACTTAAGTCGAAATGTTTAACGTGTCCAAGGCTCCCACTCTACTGTTCACCCCCACCTGAAAAAACAGCATATTGCACAGAAACTCTGCTATTAACTAAATCCAGTTTATTAGCATGATGGTTTATTCAAACAATACTTAAGTTTATGCTCAACAAATAAAAAGTAAAAATTCTGCCAAGGATCACATTACATTTCTTGACATATTGTGAGAAAAATGCATAGTGATAATGCTGAAATCCACAGTTGTTAATGAGATAATTATTAAATTGGCCTGGATCAGCTCCACATTTAGGCTCAAATAATATAAGCTAATAGAAATACTTTGGATTTTGCCTTTTTCTTAACAATGGTTATAACCAAAGATGATTGTAAAACATAAGGAAAGTTATTATACAACCTCTTCACCCCTACCTTTCAAATGTAAGTGATAATAAAACTAGACAACTGGTGCATTTACTGGTTATGACAGTATGTCACTTCCTAGCATCAATCTATTTTTATGCCATGTTGTTGGACTGCCTAAGGCCACCACTGCTGCTTTAGCACTTCTATTGACATCTTATGAACTGTAAAAATTGGCTGGCAGAGTGTAAGCAAAACAGTGTGAGAAGATAGTGAGTAAAAACAGTTCGTTGTTCAGTTTTAGACAAGTACACCAATAGTTGTTTAGGCTCATCATTTATACATCTAAACTGCTCCCCATCATTTCACCCCAGACACGAATAAGAAATCCTAATCTAACATACCAGATTACCCTCAACAGCGTTTTTTTCCTACTTAAAAAAAATTACAGAATTGTAACTCTGATGTGGCAAAAAACACATTTGAGAAATCTGCTGTGATGTGCACTACTGTATTTATGAAGTGAGTCTCCTATCATCACACTTACCATTAGTTTGCATCTCGAGTGGTCCAAGATGAAATTAAAGCAGATGTCACATTTCTGGAACACACCTAACTTGCTGCAATTGCTGAAGAGCATCCAGTTTACTGGACCAGCTCTAGTCAAGTTGCCAGTAACCACTCTTACCAAGTAGATATAGTGTGGTTATTAGTTCCTCAATACCAACTGTTTTCCTCTATACATGTGCTCCCACTGCATCACTGATGTAGAAAGAAACTCGACCTTATCTTGAAACTCAACCATAGCCACATAACCTGATAACAGCTAAAATTTTCATCAAGTTTAACTGCTGTGTGGATATAAATTTCTGAATGTGATGATAATTTTTATCAAAGCATTTGATGGTGTCTGTCCATACACATAAAATATTCCTCAGAGAATAAAAAGATAAAATTAGTTAACAAAAGTAAGCACAAGATCAGCTACTTTAGCTATTAGTTTACCCTCATTCCAATGGGCCACCATTACTTAAGTATCAGCTTTCTTTGCAATTTACACATGGTAGTGTGCTTACAGGCCTTCCAGCTAGAAAAGAACTTAAAAGATGGACAATAAGATCAGAACTCAAAATGTTTCAGTGATTTGATTCAGAAGCAAAGCAAGATCTCTAATTTACAGCAAACTACAAACTAAATGAGTTAATGTGATGCCATTTCAGGTTAAAAAAAAAAAAAGACATTTTACCTTTGGAAAGACTAATAGGACTGAGGTTATTTTTGAGATTAAAGAGACTTTTTTTCTCCACTTGGAAGGCTGCTCTCAAAACTGCATGAGGAACAAAATTTCAGGTGCCACATTTTAAGAGTAGACAAACTAGAAAAAGCGTAGCAAAAAACGGACATGACAGAAAATACGATGAAGGTTGAGCCAGCCTGGCAAAAGTAATGTTGGATTGATATATGCCTAAAAGGGAAAACTTTGCCACTTTCTTCTCATTCCACCTTCAAACAACACTAGGCAGGTCAATGACTCTGGCCCAAATGCAGTGATTTTTGTAGATGGCTGAATTCCTGACAAATCCAAGTAACTGTCATATGTTTGACTGTAACATTTAACAATTAAAATGCAAGTCATTGTAGTATAATTGTAGACAGGCAATATCAAAATACTAAAATCTGCTTTTGGCTACATATTGCTATATTTCACTAAAATGACAAGGGTTATCATATCACATAAATGCCAGCAGTTATGCAAATGCACTTTATATTTTTCATATACGTAAAATGCATATATTTTTATATTTACACAATACATTTTATATATTTTTATATATACCCACACACAGAGACTACACTTTGCTTAGTTAAAACTGTCAATAAGTCAACTCTAAAATCCAGAATTTTGATATAGTAGTTAATGAATGAGAATAGCACAGGCTCTTGGAGGGTATGATTTAATATTAGGACAAAATGGTACTTATGCTAGGCCAGACAGTGACTAACTTACAGTGCAGGTTTTTTTCATGTTTACTGTCAGCTATGAGTTTTCACGCTACTTGGATGAGTCATAGCAACATGAGTAACACATCAACATGTCTTGGAAACAGCAGCTCAGAACAACAAAACCACAGGAGGTTAACAGCACACACAAGTTGCATGCACATTAAGACCATTAAAATTTATACTTAGCAGAAGAGTCACAGCAACTAATGGGTAAAAGTATGGTATTATTCTATGCATCCAAAATGTAATTATCACATTGCAATTTTGGAAATACAGCTTGAACCATCACTGCTAATATTTATGAGGAGACTACTTAGTAGATCCTAGTCTTCTTAAGAGAAGTCTCTATACTGGAGCCTCAGGTTTGTTCCACAGCTGAATGCCCCTAAGCAGACGTTCAGTTCCTATCTACTACATACTTCCTTATGAGATTTCAAATTTGCCCATAGTGGTTTAGCTACTTGGATGATTGTTACAGCCAGTCAATACTCCATTCAGATTCTAAGATACTTGGGTTTTGCAAAGGACAGCTGAGACTCTAAAACAACAGACTACGTATTAGACAGAGATGGAATCCATTAAAGCCTCTATAGCCCCAAACACAATCCATATCTTAGTGAAATGTAGCTGCATGGTCAAAAGCTAACAGATATACAAAGCAGAAGAGTAGATACTCATTAAATAATGACAGAATTAGTTTTGACCAGGTTGAAAATACAATTTTCCGTAGCAACTGAATAGCATCAGTGATAAGTTTAAGATAATATTAATTCAGTTTCCTTTTGTCCTTAGAGAAGCACCTTTCTTTTTGAATGAAAAATAGAAGTCCCTGTAACAACATCTGTGGGGGTTTTTGTCTGCTCATTATTTAACATGCTTTTAGGTTTAAAAAAGGTATAAAGGATCTCTCAGAAGCCAGCAGTGGGATAAATCTTCTATAATAAAGGATTCTAAAGGAATACTTCAAATCAAAAAGATATTTTCCATTAAGTAAATGCAACTGTACGGTTCCTTCTGGTTTCAGTAATTTATCACACACAGCTTCTCATGGGGGTGGGGAAAACCCCAAAGAAATAACCATGATGTTTTGGTATTAATCAGCATAAGTTGGGAAACTTCAAGGTGCTTGCCTTATATAGCTGGACATTTAAATGAAAGATGGGTAATGTATCCCTGGAGTCCCCAACATACGAAGGACATGGAGCTACTGGAACCAGTTCAGAGGAGGGCCACGAAGATGATCCGAGGGCTGGAGCACCTCTGCTATGAAGACGGGCTGAGAGAGTTGGGGCTGTTCAGCCTGGAGAAGAGAAGGCTCCAGGGTGATCTTATTGCAGCTTTCCAGTACTTAAAGGGGGCCTACAGGAAAGCTGGAGAGGACTTTTTACAAGGGCGTGTAGTGATAGGACAAGGGGCAATGGATTTAAACTGAAAGAGGGCAGATTTAGCTTAGATATAAGGAAGAAATCTTTTACATTGAGGGTGGTGAGGCAGTGGAACAGGTTGCCCAGAGAAGTTGTAGATGCCCCATCCCTGGCAATGTTCAAGGCCAGGTTGGATGAGGCTTTGGGCAACCTGGTGTAGTGGAGGGTTTCCCTGCCCATGGCAGGGGGGTTGGAACAAGATGATCTTTGAGGTCCCTTCCAGCCCTAACCATTCTATATTCTATAAATGCTACCCAGTTTACCAAGGCCAAAGGCACGTGCTGAGCTTGCAAACTGCTGTGAGAACTAAAAGCATCACTGATTGTTTACTAAAGGTCAAATCCCCAAACAGTTTTCAGGTCAAAATTTAGGTGAGCTTAAATAGTGACACAGACTGTTTGAAAAGAACAAAATTATTTTTGTCTAATACAGATTAGGCAATATTTAATAAACATTTTTGCCCACAAAACTGCAGCTTCACTTATTAGGTGATAAGCATCAAAGGAGGAGAAAAATGTCTAAGTCTGCCACTGCTGCAGTTGAGAAATAATCATACTTCTCCATAGCCTGAGCACCACCAGAGTGAGAATGCTCATTTATTGGAGGAGAAAACTTACAGCACCTGTTGCACAACAACCACCCATGTTCTGCAGCCAAAGAGCCAAGAATATGAACATTAAGGTTTTTACTAAGTAGTACTAGCTAAAACTTGATGAATAAAATACAAGTTTTTGGTAAAATACCACGTATGCAATGTACTATGCGCAGTAAGCATGGGTGCTGAGGGGATGCGAGTGTCGCTAGTTAATGCTCTTCTCAAAGGGAAAGACATTAAAAGGGAGTTACATCTTTTAGGCGTGCAAGCTTCATACAAAAATACCTGCTTTACAGTATCATTCTTGGAAATAAAGTAACAAATCCTGTTGACTGCTGACCACAATTATTTTCATAAATTTTATTTAAAGTATTTAACTTCTGCAGAAAATCCAGAGTTTAGTTCACTGATTTTTAAAACGTGATTATTTTCATTGTTTCATTTCAAAGAGGGTGGGGGAACAAACTCCACCTCCAAAATCTATTCCACTTTCAAGGAAAGAAACCTAAACCTAACATACTTCAAATATCTTGAAATTAATACAGGACTTAATGTCTACTATGATCTCTGTCAGAAAAGTCCACGCTAACTTACATTACTTGCTTCCACATGAATACAAACATTTTGTTTCCGCTGATAAAAAAAAGTAGAATGGTATTTCTTCCAAATGCGAGACTTGCTCAGTCTTGGAAGTAAATATCTGGGGCAGTGGGAAGCAACTGCTTAGACTAGTGCTGATATTTCATTTTAAGTATAATAATATTCCTTGCAGGAGAGTTAAAATAATACAGAAAATCTATAAAATTTATCAGAAATATACTATAAAAAAAAAACTTCGAAGGTCGTTTCCCTATCCATAGGACAAATATCCTAGATTAACTAGTGGTCTTTCAAAAACAGACCATAAAATGCAAGGATTTACAAACAAATCAAGCTCATCTTCAGTACAATTCCAAGACAGGACACAAACATCCTCAGGTCTTAGCACCTCTATCTTCCCCACACTCCAGTCTCACAAAGCAGGAACTGAGACTGTATTAACTCATGGTAGAGGACCAGAGTGCAAAAAGGAAACAAAACCATCTCCCCCAAGCTCCAGGCTTTCACTCTTAACCACTGGGATGAAAAACACAGAACTGTTCCAACCACAAGGCAGACAACACTGTTTGCAACTTTTATTCTATTTTTACAACTGCATTTACAGTTCAAGCAAAAATAGGAAGATTTTCAAAATCAAATGTACAAGTTTATAAAGCAGACATTCCAGAGAGATGAATATAGGAACAAGTGTTAAATATTAAATAGAGTAGGACGATTCCCTTATACAGGGTCACTCTGATTCAGGATCAAAACCAGGTTACAAACTACAGTCTATGTCTTCAAAAGTCATATTTAATTTCAGCAAGTTGCTTTTCACAAATGGATCATTTCTTGTCTGTTTTAAGCCCCATTTATGAAAACCTCCCTTGTGTTTTTGTAAGGTCTTAACAACTTTAACACCAGCTAAGTATAAAGAACAAATTCTTCACATATTCAATTATGGAACTATTCAATTTTTCAAAGCGATCTTTTAAAAAGATTTTTTTTGTTCCTCTTTTAATTACAGTATGTGTATTTACTAATTTACCACACTTATAGGTGCGTAACATCTGATATTCAGTAGGAAAACCAACACTGTTTTAAGACCCATAGTTTCAAATAGTGACTTTTCACTAGGAATCACATATCTGCAAACCTAATCCAGCTCTTTAAGGCAACTAAATAATTTAGAAAAATTCACATTTAAGACTTTCCAGACTAGTATAAAAAGGAAACACAACTATGAAGCAGTCTTTTCTAGCAGAAAAAAGAACTTTCTTGCAACAGAGTGTGGAACCTCAGTAAAAACAGCAGCATTTTGTCAATGGTGATATCTGACAGACTGATAAGATACAAATAAGGCAATGACCCAAAGAAAAGACTTCAGTGTAAGTTCAGATCCTCAGTGAATGCTATGCCCCTACATGTGCTCTGAACCAACTCAGAAAATCAAGCATTTACAGATTTGTTATTAATACACTAGAAGAAAAATTTACTTGCTATTATACTTTTTTTTTCCTAGTATTTGCCCTCCTGCTAATTGAATCTCATACACTACCACTGGAGTGTTGTTCAATCCTACAAGGAGTGGTTTTACAGCCAAGAAGCATGCCTACTTTGAAGATTTTCATGTATGTTTGCCTTTCTCATATCGACTGGTTCCCCAAACCTGCTCTGCAGCATTAGTTCTTTTGCTTGAGACTGTCTCTAAGCTGTCGAGCAGTCTCCTGGTTATCTTACTCAATGATTTACTATCAGCCCATCTGCAACAACAATAATTTGAACCCTACTTTACCCACAAAATTCTCCACCACTATCTTGTTTCTTAGCTACTGCAGATCGCAGGATCCATCTTCTGTCACAGAAATCTGGTTTCATCTTCAGGTATGTTGCCCTATCTGTGGCACTCTACATTAGAAAGGCATACAACTTACCAGTTCCCTCTGAGTATCAGTCCATCTATTCAGACAACACAGCGAAGCTCGAAGGTCTCCTAGCTCGCTGACTGCAATGAAGTTTTTTTTCCCCTTGCATTGACAAACGGAACACTGGTCCAATCACAACCATTCAGTATGCTACAAACACCCTTTTCCTAACTCCCTGCCCACCTCTCATCAGTCCTCTCTACTTCTCTCCACAGATTTCTTATCTACCCAGGAAACTGTAGTTGCTCTCATAGATTTCATAGATTTCTAGGCTGGAAAAGACCTTAGAGATTATCCAGTCCAACCATCCCCAATCCCCATTAAACCATATCCTTAAGTAGTTCGTCCACCCTATTCTTAAACACATCCAGGGATGGGGACTCAACCACCTCCCTGGGCAGCCTATTCCAGTGGCTGACAACCCTTTCAGAGAAGAAATACTTTCTAACATCCAACTTGAACCTGACTAAGCTTATACCCATTTCCTCTTGTTATATCACCCATCACTAATGTAAAGAGCCCTTCCCCTACCTCCCCACCATCCCTTCTCAAGTATTTGTAGGCCGTAATCAGGTCTCCCCTCAGCCTCCTCTTCTCCAGGCTAAACAGCCCCAACTCCCTCAGCTGCTCCTCATAAGTTTTATTTTCCAGCCCCTTGACCAGTTTAGTCGCCCTTCTCTGGACCCGCTCCAGGAGCTCAATATCTGTCTTAAAGCGAGGGGCCCAAAACTGGACACAATATTCCAGGTGCGGCCTCACCAGTGCCCAGTACAGAGGCAAGATCACTTCCCTAATCTCTCTCCTTCTCTTCTTGCCTCTCATGGCCTCTTCTTCAGCCTACAGTCTCATCCCACACAAAGATCATAATTCTTGCCTCCTGTCAGTGCCCAACACTCTTCATATTTTCAGGCAAGTAGTTGTCATATTGAATTTGGAAGCATGTATTTGGAAAAAGTACCTCAAAAATCAGCAATACAGACAGTTTCTAGAAATTGTCCCTTTAAATCTTTTTCACTATGAAAACTGCAGTGAAACTTGATGGCTGCTATTCTATTAGTGTCCAAACCACTGAATAGCATGCTCATCGATACAGTCCTCTCCTTTACTGTACTTCATCAGTTCACATCCAGATCATCTGGCACTTCGCATTTTTGATTCAATTCTACGGAGCAGGATTGAATCTTTAGCTCTATTTATGCAATTTAACCCATTAATTGGGAGGTATTTCAGGCTTCTAAGCATTCAAATACTACAAAAATTTAGCCAGTAGGACATGTAGACAAACTTCAGCACAACCCTGCATTCACTTTCATTTACTTGTCCTTATTTGCTCCTCTCCTCTCCCACAATATGTAGATTTCAAGTATTGTTCCACAAAACTAAGCTGTTTCATCAATCTCCCAGCCAATGCCTGATGGAGTACATACAAAATATTTCGCCTATATGATCACTTGTTCTATGACACCATTTGAGCTCTTACCTTAGTAAAATTATTCAAGTGACCTAGTTTTCTCATATTTGAAACGCCTTGTAATTTGGCCACATTTTGGAGAATCTCTCTCATGTTATCACAGGGTTCTGCAAAAGAGAACAGGTTATTAGTAGATATAGTTGAAAATAAAAATCAAAAAAACTAAACATGCATTCAACATGCAGCTTCCTAAATACAAAAGGTATGCTCCTGGTCTTAATTAAGGATGCAGATCATTTTCGCCTCAAGAAGCATCTATTTGATTTACGCTTAGAATCAAAACCAGGCATACCCGAACTCTCCAAAATAAACACTAAAGCCCACGGAGAAGAGAGATTCGTATTTTAAAGCAGATTTTAATCCGTATCTTATAATTTAAATTGACAAAGAAATCCATTTAGTGTCTGAAACTCCAATCCTAACATCTCATAACTGATCAGCTTTATCATTAATCTCCCTGAAATGCAAGGGCAAGAAGTAAACTTACAGACAGAAGTAAAAAGATAGCATGTTACTGCCACACCACATCACTTCTTTCTTCCCCTCCAGACAAAGGGTTGGTGGGATTTCTGCCTTCCATATTAATCTCTGTCTACACATTTACCAGTAGGCTAGGACTTTCCAGTGACATGGGAATTGAACAAAGTAAGTGGGGGGACCAGGAACATCATTTCATTTCTTCCTAAGTGTCCACCATCCCAACAAAAAAAAAAACCACAAACCAGGATGACCCTGCATTCTGCTGGGAAATGGTTAAGGACTACCAAACATGGTAAGAAGAGACAATATTGCCTCACCTTTGGGATTAGCTGAGAGTTGAGGCAGAGTGAGACAAGCAGCAAAGGGTGGGCTGGGCACAGAGAGCTGCAAGCAAAGGTACTGTAACAGAAACTGCAGTAAGTTCTGCACATGGTGGTATTGTGGCAGGACAGTTTTCAAAAGGAGATGCTTGACTGAAGGATTCTCGTGCAGTCTTGGATTGGACACTGTGTGATGGACACTATACCACTATCAGCAGCACTGTTGTTTGAAATTAATGAAATACCGAGGCCACGCTGGAGATGTGAACTGTTAGAAAGTATTACACTACTAAAAAAGAAAAAAATGCATTACATAAAATGATGTCTTTAGAAAGCCTGAAGAGTACAAACACCAGACATCTGGAAAGCAGCAAAGAGAAGGGGTTTGAGTGGGGTGCCCCATGCTTACTCAGTAAAAGAAACTTGTTTTCTACTGCAGTATGAACAGCTATGGCCGAATTTGTGGTGTATACATAGAGTCTTGTACTTCCCTGTTCATTCTCTACAAACCAAGCTGAGTTTTTTATCAATATCTGTAGTTCAAAAACTTTAAAAAAGCAACAAATTTGAAAAAGCAGACAAAACTAGCTATCTATCTCATCAGGATATATCCAGAAGATATTTGGAAAGATAAGACCCTGTAAGAGCACTACTATCAGGAATACAAGACAGTATTTAAAGATTAAGACACCTACCTACAGGTCAGCATCTGAATTAAGGCGTGTAAACCTGTAAACCCACTGTAGTCAACAGAGATCTTGTTTATCAGCCAATGAAGATGAAGACAACCGACTAGCTGTACGGTGTCTACTCAAGGGTAAGGTGAATCAGTTGTACTGAGTACATGGCTTATGACGAGACTTTAACGCATGTACTGACATGCTACTGCCACTCCACATAATTGTGATATTTTTCAGGTAAAAGATCAGTGAGATTTGGGAAGATAAGACAGGCTCACAAATGTGGGCATCAATCTCAGTCATCACCAGCTTGATGTGAAGCATTATTTTCCACAAACCGAAGTCACAGCAATAAGCAAAGTCAACTGTCAGACACACAGCACAAGCACAAAGCGACCTTGCACTGCAGAACAGTATGTTCAGTGAAACCAAACATCTAGCAGCTTTGTATACAAATTGGAACACCTGCACACCTTTCTTTAAACCCCTCCCCCTTCAACCCAGTCAAAAAAAAATGAAAAACCTTTGATACAATCTCATAAATTAGAGACAGTGAAAATATTACTAGATGCATCCCAAGGTTAGGATCCTCTATATAGTTATTTTTCCAGGGCTTAACTTAGTTTGAGAGGTTTGCAATAGGATAAACCATGAAAACAACAAGAGAAACACTGAAGCAAGTAGGTTGGGATGGTTACAGCACTAGAAGCAGTTTACATCACAGCATCTGATTTAAAAGGAATACATAGGAGAGGAAAATTGCCATGCCCAGCAAGGTAAGGGAGCAGATCCACCTGGTGACTATGCTAAGGCACATACAAAATAAGAGGGTGACTGGTGACAGCCAACATGGCTTCACTAAGGGCAAATCCTGCCTGACTAATTTGGTGAACTTCTACGATGAGGTTACAGCACTGATGGATAGGGGAAGAGCAAATGACATCATCTACCTGGACTTATCCAAAGCATTTGATACTGTCCCACAAGACATCCTTGTCTCTAAACTGGAGAGACATGGATTTGATGGATGGACCACTTGGTAGATAAGGAATTGGCTGGATGGTTGAACTCAAAGAGTTATGGTCAACGGTTCAATGTCCAAGTGGAGGCCAGTGACGAGTGGTGTTCCTCAGGGGTTGGTGTTGGGACTGGGCTGTTTAACATCTTTGTTTGTGACACGGACAGTGGGATTGAGTGTACCCTCAGCAAGTCTTCTGAGGACATTAAGCTGTGTGGTGTTGTGGACACGCTGGAGGGAAGGGATGCCATCCAGAGGGACCTTGACAGGCTGGAGAGGTGGGCCTGTGAGAACCTCATGAAGTTCAACAAGGCCAAGTGCAAGGTCCTGCACGTGGGTTGGGGCAATCCCAAGCACAAGTACAGGCTGGGCGGAGAATGGATTGAGAGCAGCCTTGAGGAAAAGGACTTGGGGGTGTTGGTGGATGAGAAGCTCAACATGAGCCAGCAATGTGCACTGGCAGCCAAGAAAGCCAACTGCATCCTGTGCTGCATCAAAAGAAGCGTGGCCAGCAGGTCAAGGCAGGGGATTCTGCCTCTCTACTCTGCTCTCATGAGACCCCACCTGGAATGCTGCATTCAGCTCTCCAGTTCCCAACACAAGAAGGACATGGAGCTACTGGAACGAGTTCAGAGGAGAGCCACGAAAATGATCCGAGGGCTGGAGCACCTCTGCTATGAAGACAGGCTGAGAGAGTTGGGGCTGTTCAGCCTGGAGAAGAGAAGGCTCCGGGGGGATCTTATTGCAGCTTTCCAGTACTTAAAGGGGGCCTACAGGAAAGCTGGAGAGGGACTTTTTACAAGGGCGTGTAGTGATAGGACAAGGGGCAATGGCTTTAAACTGAAAGAGGGCAGATTTAGATTAGATCTAAGGAAGAAATTTTTCACTCAGAGGGTGGTGAGGCAGTGGAACAGGTTGCCCAGAGAAGCTGTAGATGCCCCATCCCTGGAAGTGTTCAAGGCCAGGTTGGATGAGGCTTTGGGCAACCTAGTGTAGTGGAGGGTTTCCCTGCCCATGGCAGGGGAGTTGGAACTAGATGGTCTTTGAGGTCCCTTCCAACCTTAACCATTCTGTGATTCTATGATTCTATGAAAATGACTTCTTTATAATTTGGTTTCTCTGAAACTACAGCTTGGCTGATTCCTACTCTTTGGCCTGTCTTGGGTAATGGATGGAACTTCCCTAGCTCACATTACTTTTGGACAGTAACATACCCCATTATACCACAAGAAACATCGCATGTAAAAGGTCCTAGAGCTCTCCAGAATGTTCTACTTCAATTCCCTGGAGAACAAGCAGCAACAATAACTCTGCAAAATCACTGGAAATATGCTTCTAAGTTTTAATTTTGAAAGTGCAGATGTCTATATATTCAAGGTAAATCTCTACCAAAACTAAGCTCTCTATACGAATGGGAAAGACCACAAGACTAGCTCAGGAAACTTCTTGTCAGTAAGCGGCAATTAACATTTCTATTCAGCTACCTGATAGAGCGGGCTCTATCTCAGAAGCGAGCGAGGCGTGCCGTGCAGAAAAGCAGTCAATTTGGATGTGAGGAAACCAGGACATGATGATGCTACTATTTCCCATGTTAACAATCCTGTAGCAATGACAGACCTTGATAACGAGGTTGCCTAATTAAAATGTGCACTAAAACCATTTTACTCTGTGTGTGTATGAAAGACTGAAGTTATAGCAACTTATCGCTACATTGTCCTCTTTCTGCTGAGAAAAACTCTCATTTATAGAGGGACAGAAAAGCTCCAGGAAAACCATCGTTGCAGTGCTTAGCAGAGCAGACAGGTATTTCCCAGAAGCTTCACTAATGTTAAGTGGGGACTCCAGTATAAGATCTACCACACTGTGAGAAAATTGAGAACATGACAGATATTTCCACTATCAAATTGATAACATGAATACAGCAAGTTAGCAGGCTCACACTTTGACTACAACAACAAAACTAGTGCTGTAGAACAAACAAGACAGTAAAGAAATAAACACCCTCTAATAGCAAACTACCTCAGAAAGAACTAAGATTATAGAGGCCTTCTCAGTCAAGTCTTGTCAGTTCAGGTCTTCTGTTAAACTTCAAAAGAACCTTCTTGCAAAAAAATCTCTTCAAAAAAAGTTAAAAAAAGAATTGTGACATAAAAGTTCAAGGAAAGACTGGCTACCCTGTTTTTCCTCTTCTGGAAACACATCGTGTATTAGAAAGAAATAGAAAATTTATTTAACTACTCAGGCATGAGTAATTTTTATTAATAAATAAAGCCAATAGGGAAGGTAGGCAGGCCTATCAGACCTTCTCATACGGCAGATGTAAAAAAATTTAAATGAAAAACATGACTTCACAAACAGAGGTATAGTCTCTTGCTAGTCTGTCCCTTACATTAAAATAGGCTTGAAAACAGACTAAATGCATTCTGGATTTTACCAACTAAGCAAGCCATGTGGCTTTCCCATAATGAAAGATCAGATCCAGCACTGCACGTCTTCCTGTCACAGAATCTCATGCCACAGCCCTGAAGAACATGGATTAATGTAGAAACAGGAAAAACATGGCACAACATAAGAGACTGATCTCCCAAAAGACAACTTATCGTG